ATCTTCCACTTTACCACGCCCAGGATCCAACTTTGCGAAATCGATAGCTAATCGTTCCAATGGTCTGAATGCCAGAAGATGCCTCATTGGAGGTCGGACTTTGGGAGTAGGGGCCTTAGCTACGGTGCAATGGAAACAGTTCTTTATGTGCTCCCGAACATGACCTGCTATGCCAAGCCAATAACAGCGTCTCTTAATGAAGGCCAACGTCCTCCCAGTGCCCTGATGACCCCATTGATCGTGGGCTGCTTCCAGGACAGCTTCGCACAGACACTTAGGAACCAGGAACTGGTATACTGGTCCGACACCAGGCTCTTCTACTGACCTGTACAAAACACCATGGGCCTCTACCAACCGCGGCCATTCTCTGATCCAGCCCTTCAACTCGCCCATTGACACCAAGGGATGGTCCTGCCCAGGCTCCCAATGCTGATCCCACAACTGCCAGACTCTGCCCAGTACCTCATCGGCTTTCTGCATAGAGGCCAGCTCCTCAAAGGAGTAAGAAGGTAGGACTGAAGAAGGAATACCAGGTAAGGCACTATCAGCGCAATTAGGCCTAGATGAAGTTGCAGGTTGTAACTCTGATGGAACAGCAGTGGTCACTACCTCTGCTACCTCCGACTCCGAGTGTTCTGGTGGATTACGGCTCAAAGCGTCTGCACATTTATTGGTCCTGCCAGAGCGATACTTAATCTCCAAGTCGAAGCATGCCAACTGAGCCGCCCATCGCTGTTCTGTTGCGCCCAATTTAGCGTTTTGAAGATGCGCAACAGGATTATTATCTGTCCAAACGACAGTATGCTTCCCAAGAAGGTAATCCCTATACTTCTCCGACACTGCCCATTTTAGGGCCAATAACTCCAATTTGAAGCTAGACAAGTCGCTGTAATTTTTCTCAGAACCTCTCAAACACCGACTGGCATAGGCCACTGGATGCAGGTCTCCGGACTCGTCATACTGGGACAAGCAGGCCCCTAGGCCTTTCAAAGAAGCGTCGACCTCCAAAACAAAATCCCGGTCAAAGCGGGGGTAAGCTAACACAGGGGTCTCACAAAGCGCCTGTTTCAGTGTCTGGAACGCAGTGTCAGCTTCTGGAGTCCAAGGCCACAACTCCTTTGCCTTCCCTGCTTTTTCTTGAGCCTTAGCGGTCAGGTCATGCAAGGGTCTGGCTATTTTAGCAAAGCCGCAAACGTAGCGCCTATAATAGGAGGCTAGCCCCAAAAATGACCTAAGTTGTTCCAAACAAGTTGGTCTCGGCCAGTTTCTAATACGCTCAACTTTGTCAGGGTCGACCTTTACACCTTCACCACTCACGATGTGACCAAGGTGGGACACAGAGGACTGAAATAGCTTACACTTAGCACCTTTGAGCTTTAGACCGTTGTCTTCAAGTCTGGATAGCACCTTATCCAGCCGACTGAGGTGCTCCTCAAAAGTAGAGGAGAAAACCAGCAGGTCATCGAGGTAGAGAACTACTTCTGAGAGGTTCATATCCGCGAATATGGATTCCATTATTCGCTGGAATGTGCTGGGGCTGTTGGATAGGCCCTGTGGTAGTCTGAGAAATTCGTATAATCCCCAGGGCACTCTAAATGCGGTTTTCTCCACAGAATTGGGGTGCACCGCAACCTGGAAATAGCCATGGGCTAAGTCCAGGGAGGAAAAAATCTTAGAGCCGCCCAAAGACTCCAAGGTCTCCTCAATTCTTGGCAACGGGAATGCATCTTTTTGTATTTTGGCGTTGAGGCGACGGTAGTCGATGCACAATCTCAAGTTTCCATCGCGCTTTCTAACCAGCACAACAGGACTCGCAAAGGGACTCTTTGACTTTCGGATAACTTGACGATCAAGCAAATCCTGCAGCAGTCGCCTGACTTCGGTGACGCAAGTTGGAACAATTCGCCTATAAGGTAAGTTCACCACAGACTCATCAATGAGTTTAATCTCGTGGGGTATGAGGTTACAGCAACCAAGATCATAGGGATCCATAGAAAAAGCACTTACATGCTTCTGTATTAATTTCGCTGCAGCTACCGCATCAGTGGCATCTAAGCTCTTGAGGCTCAGACCAGGGGGCAATTCAAACGTCGTCCCATCAGGAAAAACGAATACTTCACGCAGCTCAGTGGACTGGACATCTTTCAAGTCCTCCTGTACATAATGATCGGGTTTCTGCCCGGTCGAATCAGAAAAGACAGGCGGCACATCTATGTCGTCAACAACTGCATGCACGAAGTGTACAGATACTTCCACTCCATCAGATAATGGATCAACAAAAATCTCGTCACTAGCGACGAGTTCACAAGCCAAAGCCACTTTGGTATCAGCGGGAATCACTAACGGCTCAACACTAACGTTGGCAACTAAAATAAGCATGGGACCTTTGCCCACATGCTGGATACCCTCTACTACTTGGCAACCGCAAGACACATCCTGAGAACTTTGCGGAATATCCGGATGATCAAGTGGCGGACATGACGCCACAAACATTGTGTCCGACTGTGGACAACACTCTCCCATCACTCTACACGAAACTTGCACTGCAGTCTCTGGAGGAATGGTCAGAGACTCACAAGTCCTCACTTCCCTCATCATCTGATGATTAGATTCAGTACGATCCTGTGTCCGTACTGGAGGTTCATTGGATCTGAACCATCGGAGTGCCAGATCCCAATCTGGACTAATCTTAGTTCGCTCAGCATTCCTCAACTTCTGAGCCAATACTCGAAGAATATTACAGCCAAGCAGAACTGGAAACTTATCCCGCCTTCCGCCTGGAGAATCATGAGAGTCATCCTTGGTCACAAGAAAGACTGCACTGAATGTCTGACCCTGAATACAGACAGGAGCCTCTATGTATCCCTCCACAGGAATGTCAAGGTTGTTGGCTCCCACCAACCCTACAAATTTGCCCACCTGACCCAAATCGCCAGCCCTATGCACTAATTGGTCATGGTAAAGTCTGGAAGACATCAAAGATGTCTCCGCCCCTGTATCTAAGATACAATTTACAGGCACCCCACAAATTATGATTTTCCCAGTAGGACTACTGGCTAGTACTTTATGACGGTCCTTTTCCGTCATTACTTTATCAATTGGTACCTCTGGGGGCTTCTCAAAACTACTGGCCAAAACATTTAGGGTATCGCTAGGTGTGCAACCTGTGGGCGACTGTTCGTCCCCCGTCATAGCGCCCTCTATGACGGAGGAATCACATTTCCCGACATATCTTTTTCTCTGAGCGGCTTTTGAGCCACAGGATCCGTACTGCGCTTAGGGTCACCCCTTTGTCCATTTTCTTGATTTATTCGTGCATAGCACTTCTCGTATGAGTGACCCATCTTCTTGCAAAAAGTGCATTGTATGCTCGAACGTGTACCCCTTCGGGTACTTGACGCGACCTCCCTTCGGTGGTCTTCCATGGATTCAAACAAGCGCTGCAGCTTGCTGTTAGTTTCTGCTTGCTGTTGTACTAAACATCCAACAGCAGCAGAGAGTTGCTGTTGGCTTTCAGTCAACCCAACCAGCAACTCGTGTTCGCTCTTACTGCGTTTTTGAGCAGCAGCCACATTGCCAACCGCAGGGCATGACCAGTCGTCTGACTGAGTGTGATCTGTAGATTCCACGTCCCGCAAGAATTCCAATGCAATTTCACGGAATGCGTAAAATGGCATCACTGCATTATCATGGCTAAGTCTTCTCAGCTCTCGCTTTGTGGAGGCCTCTCGTGCCCCTCCTACAAATTGCTCTCTGAGGGCGTTCGCGCGCAACTGTCGCAGCGCTTCCCTTTCTTTAGGGCCTGCCGCCAACTCCATGCGATCATAGATGCGCATCAACGACCGACTGAACTCAGTTAGTGTTTCTCCTTCCAACTGAGTCCTAGCATAAAAGGTGCTATTCAAGGATCTAAGTGATTCAATTGCCCCAAACCTAAGTGTCAACAGCGCAGCTAGCTTCACAACAGTATCACGCTCCCCCTTAGGACAACACAACACCTCCTCTTTTGCTGGACCCCCCAGATGGTCTAGGGCCACATCTACTTGTTCTTTTTCAGTTAGACCCAAGGGTCGCAAGTATGCATCAAGATCGCTCAACCATCCCCCTAAAGTGGGATCGCCCGACCTCTTTGGTTGGCCGCAAAACTTTGCTAATTTTATAGTTGGAGTGCGCTTTATCTGGAGGTTTCCAAACGCTCCAGCTAGTGTATCAGCTAGCGCCTTGTGAGACTTAGCAATAATATCAGATAATTCCTCAGTGGTGGCCATATTGTTCCACCTGCAATGTCAAACAGCAATAAATTGAAATAGCTCCAATGGAACGAAAAATATACGCATGCAGAGTGCGTTGTGCGCGAGACACCGCGTAATCGCACCAGAATCCCTACGCAGGATGCACCGAAATAAGGGCACAAAAGCCCATCAGCAAAATCACAGCACTTAATGTTGCGAGTCACGTGATAGGAGTGGGTGCAGGCAGCCTATAGCTGCAATAAGAAACTACAAAAAAAATTAGTATAGTGCAAACAGACACTTTTAGGCTATTCGACAGCTGTCCAGAATCAATCGGTTTAAAAACCAGTCATATTTACGACATGGGTCACAACAATAAGAGATAGCCTACAATAATAACATGTGCTCTGACAAAATGTCAGAACATGTGGTGCAACAAGAAAATCAATATCAACCCTAAAAGTTATGTGGTCACATGTGTTAGGTTCATTAACCAATATAAAATCATCACAGTAGGTAAAAGTTACAAGCGTACAATTATGCACAAAACATTTTTAAAATACGCGTGTACTTTATGGGCCACTATACTTTTAGAATTAAACACAATTAGTGCACTAGCTATGTACACATGTACACTAATAATCTACAAAAATTACTCGAAATCAGGTCTCTTCATGCAAGTCGGGGGTTTCCAATAATACTATAATTTCCAAAAATGAAAGCTAGGTTGGTCGCGTGGAAATGGCCTCCATCCTGTCTACGATGCCATATTTCTGTAGTGGTCGGCCCTGCTGTCTTATTCAGAGGGGGGAGACTCGTCCACCAGTTAAGGAGGATGGGAGGCAATCACCAAGCGTGGACAATCATCATCGGTTTCTGTCATTAGTTGATTGGTTGATTTATTGATGATCCAGTTGAGATACAATATTTCAATGGAATATAAAAACCCTGTACAATGAAATAGAAAAGCAGACGCTGTGTATTAAAGTTTGCATGTCACAGCGTACACACTATACGTACAATACACGTACATGTACCTTCAGTTTGTTTACAATTTCGGTACAAAATGTGTCGAAAGAAATGCCTTAAATTCTCACCCCGACGTCTTCAAATCTTTCCCTTAAATGATTCCAAAAGCAGCTATACAGCACTTCACTTCAGTTGGTGGGCTGTTCAGATATGGGCCTTCAGATTTTAGCTCGCAAAAGATGGTTTTTGATGTGAATTTGGCTCACATCATGCAACGGCATGGTCCGAAGAAAAAGGAACAGGACGTGCCAATCCTGCACGTAGGCCACTTACTTCCGGAAAAGCCCGAAGAAGTCCGAAGCACAAAAACCCAGATTTACTTTAGTAAAATATCATATTTCAGGAGTGATCTAATATTATGAGAAAACTATAAATGTATTTTGCCAACTTATACATGCCCAATAAAATAGTAAGAATAAAGTTTGAGAAATTATAAGAACGTTTTTGGTTGTAACTATGTAGTTGCCGAACGCACTTAGCAACCACGAGTCAGTGACGTCATCATGCTTATGGCGCGTACGTAACTTCTTAAAGGGGAATTCCCAGATCCCTACAATAACAAGAAAAGCATAACAGGAAAAGCATAAACCAGGGAATAATGATTGTTTGGCTAGGTCAAGGGAATATTGATGAGTGGGATGGGCGATGTGAAAGAATACCTTAATCTTGAGAATCAATCCAAACGGGGCTATATTTTGAGTAGAAGATTACGAAGGATGAGACCAGTGCTGTTTTTGACAGGTGAGTGGTGAGTTGCCGTATTTCGGTTTTTGTCATCAGGTTGAATAGGGAGCGGATTTGTGTTTTATTGTTTTCGTCTATGAAGCCTCTACTTCCTATTTCCAAGGCGATGAGTTTGGAGTTGAAACCTATCTCACGCAAATCTCGTGTTAGGTTGGCATATTTTTGCATTTTGTAGTCATGGCTTTTAGTTATGTTAGTTTCGAATGGTACCGTTAATTCAACTATGGTGATGTCTTTGTTATGTTCGTCTGTTATGACAATGTCTGGCTTAAGTGTGGTTGGTAGTATGGATGGCGGGATGGTATTGCCGTCAGGAGCGTGTTTACCATCGAGATCGGCAAAGAGTTTGCGGTTAGAGCAGCTGTTGTACATTTTGTCTAGGGATTTACAGATTTCCAGTAAAACATTGTTGTGGCGATAGGTGTAGCGGCCTTGATTGAGCATTACTGGGCAGTAATTGAGGACGTGTAACAATGTTTCCTTGGATGTGCAAAGTGTGCACTTGGGGTCAACTGACTTACCCCAGAGGCAGAGATTGGTATTGACTGGTAGAGTATCTATGATTGCATTGAGTCCAAAGCGAAGAATTTTCCGAGGTAAATTATACATTATTGATTTCCAAGTGATGTTGGATTTTTCCGTTTCCATAAGTTCTAGGAGACGGCCTTGTTTAGCAAGGGATTTGAATTAGTCATATTAATTATATGACTAAATGGTACCTATCGTATTTTATTCTAACGGAGGGACACACCGGACATAAGGGGGACGAATTTGATGTTTTTCTAAGGACCCCTTTAGAGGCAGAATTTTACCGTCGCAATTCGGTAATATTTGCTGCTCGTGGTGTAATTAGTAAAACCAATCTAAATACAACTAGAAATGTGTTTGTGGACAAACACAAGCTGTTTCGGATATTTGAAATACTGTGCACGTTATGAAGAATCAGTGACGTCACTACAAATGTCATCTATAACTGCACATTGTACGTACATGTCAGTTACAACCAAATCGAACATTTTCGGCCTGTAAAAGAATAAAATGCCCCTTTAAGGAACGTCACATGACATCTGATGATGAGGTCACTTCAATTTCCATCTAAAACACATCCACGTGAATGTGCATACTAAGTTTTAATTGGACTTGTACTTCCGAAGTTATAGCAATTTAAAAAATGCACATTTATTGTCACGTCACTTGACACACGATGACGTCGTCGTTACGAATTCATTAGGGACCAACTTCAGCTGCTGGTCTTATATAGTGTCTGCCAAGTGTAAAGTCAATCAGCCATATAGAAGTGCAAAAGTGTATGGTTTGGAGAAAAACGTGTACAAAACCAATAGGGGAAAAATGCATATTTAATGTGATGTAATCTGACACCTGATGATGTCACGATTCCAAACCTCTCCTAGGACCATATGTGGATGTGTGTCTAAATGTGTATCAAGTCTCACGTCGAACGGATTTACGAAAGTGCCAAAGTACAGTGTTTTAAAACGTGTACAAACCCTATGGGAAAAAATGTATCTTTAACGTGACGTAACCTGACACCTGATGACGTCACCGTCACAAATTTCTTCTAGGACCATCTGTGGGTGGTAGTCTAAGTATTTACCACGTCTGAAGTCGATCAGATTTACGAAAGTGACCAAAGTGCAGTGTTTTTAAACGTGTACAAAACCTATGGGGAAAAATGCATCTTTAATGTGACGTAACCTGACACCTGATGACGTCACGATCACGAATTTCTGTTAGGACCATCTGTGGGTGTTGGTCTAAGTATGTACCAAGTCTTAAGTTGATCGGATATAAGAAAGTGCCAAAGTGTCCTGGTGGAAGAAAAACGTGTACAAACCATATGGAGAAAGAGTCTGAAAAAGGAGAAGAAAAAGAAAAAACTAGAAATGTGTTTGTGGACAAACACAAGCTGTTTCGGATATTTGAAATACTCTGTGCACGTGACGAACAATCACTGACATCACTGTACATGTCATCTATGACAGAACATTACAAAATGTATAATACGTACATGTCAAGTTACAACCAAATCGAACATTATAGTCCTGTAGATATAGGCCTATAAAAGAATAAAATGCCCCTGTAAGGGACGTCACATGACATCTGATGATGACGTCACTTCAATTTTCATTTATAACACGTCCCTGTGAATGTGCATACCAAGTTTTAATCCAATCAGACTTGTACTTCCGAAGTTATAGCGATTCGACGAAATGCTCATTTAATGTCACGTCACGTGACACATGATGACGTCATCGTTACGAACTCACTGGGGACCATCTTAGGCTGCTGGTCTTACTAGTGTCTGACAAGTGTAAAGTCAATCAGACATACATGTATAGAAGTGGAAAAGTGTATCAGTTTGAAGAAAAACGTGTTCAAAATCAATAGGGAAACAATGCATCTTTAATTTGATGTAACCTGACACCTCATGACGCCACAATGACGACTTTCTTCTAGGACCATCTGTGGGTGGTAGTCTAAGTGTGTTCCAAGTCTAACGTGGATCGCATTTACGAAAGTGCCAAAGTAGAGTGTTTTAAACGTGTACAAACCCTATGGGGAAACTGCATCTTTAATGTGACGTAACCTGAAACCTGATGACGTCACAATCATGAATTTCGTTTAGGACCATCTGTGGGTGGTGATCTAAGTATGAATTAAGTCTATAAGTCGATCGGATTGACGAAGATGCAAAACTGGAGTGTTTTAAAACGTGTACAAAACATATGGGGAAAAATGCATCTTTAATGTGACGTAACCCGACACCTGATGACGTAACGATCACGAATTTCTTCTAGGACCATCTGTGGGTGTTGGTCTAAGTGTGTACAAAGTGTAACGTCGATCAGATTTACGAAAGTGCCGAAATGGAGCGTTTTAAAACGTGTACAAACCCTATGGGGAAAAAGTATCTTTAATGTGACGTAATCTGACACCTGATGACGTCACGATCACGAATTTCGTCGAGGACCATCTGTTGGTGGTGTTCTAAGTATGAATTAAGTCTAAAGTCGATCAGATTTACGAAGATGCCAAACTGGAGTGTTTTAAAACGTGTACAAAACATATGGGGAAAACTGCATTTTTAATGTGACGTAACCTGACACCTGATGACGTCACAATCACAAATTTCTTCTAGGACCATCTGTGGGTGGCGGTCTAAGTATGTACCAAGTCTGAAATCAATCGGATTTAAAAAAAAAGTGCCAAAGTGGCCTGGTAGAATAAACGTGTGTTAAACCTATGGAAAAAAAGGCTGAAAAAGGAGAAAAAAAAGAAAAAAAAAGAAAAAAAAAATCTTAACGAAAACAAGAGCTGTTTCGGTGTGTACACCGGTAAACAGCTAAAAAGAAAAACTAGAAATGTGTTTGTGGACAAACACAAGCTGTTTCGGATATTTGAAATACTCTGTGCACGTGATGAACACTTGATGAAGTCACTTCGAATGTCATCTGCCAAGAGAAAAGTCAATCAGACATATAGTGCCAAAGTATGCATTGAAGAAAAACGTGTACAAAACCTATGGGAAAAAATGCATCTTTAATGTAACGTAACCTGACACCTGATGACGTCACGATCACAAATTTCTTCGAGGAACATCTGTGGGTGATGGTCTAAGTATGTATCAAGTCGGAGGTCGATCGGATTTACGAAGAGGCCAAAGTGGAGTGTTTTAAAACGTGTACAAAACATATGGGGAAAAATGCATCTTTAATGTGACGTAACCCGACACCTGATGACGTCACGGTCACGAATTTCTTCTAGGACCATCTGTGGGTGGTGGTCAAAGTATGTATCAAGTTTGAGGTCGATCTGATTTACGAAGAGGCCAGAATGGAGTGTTTTAAAACGTGTACAAAACATATGGGGAAAATGCATCTTTAATGTGACGTAACCCGACACCTGATGACGTCACGGTCACGAATTTCTTCTAGGACCATCTGTGGGTGGTAGTCTAAGTATGTACCAAGTCTGAAATCGATCGGATTTAAAAAAGTGGCAAAGTGGATTGGTGGAAGAATTGTGTGTTAAACCTATGGAGAAAAAGTCTGAAAAAGGAGAAGAAAAAAAAAAAAAAAAAAAAAATCTTAACGAAAACAAGAGCTGTTTCGGTGTGTCACCGAAACAGCTAAAAAAATCTTAACGAAAACAAAAGCTGTTTCGAAAATCAATAGGTGGTGATGGGGGGGGGGGGGGGGGGGCTCGTGCCATATTTTCAATGGAGAGCGCTGTTAGTCCTACAATCAGGCACACTATATTAACTAAAAGTGTACAAATGCACCCTTCGCACGACTATTTATTTTAGGGGGACACCGTTCGCATATACGTCACATTCTTACATTTTAATTTGTTTTCTTTGGGGGGGGCTAGAAAAAATTGTCTTCTGGCATATACATGTATAGTGAACATGTACATACAAAATTTACTTGTAAAGTTGGCCGTTCTGAATCACAGCCTGCCAACGTGCATGCGTTTAGCTAAAGCCTGACGTGCTTTGTCTAGCTTAGCATCAACAATAGTGCTGGTGCCTAGCGTGGTCTGAGTAGATCTGTGGAACACTGGTGCCTAGGGCATACGGAACATTTTAATCCAGCCCTGAAAGTTCCAACACTTAATAAATCTTCTGTGATTTGCAATTTCCTTAAAAAAAATCTTATAATTTCGAAGAACTGTCTAAAACGGTATCTAAAAAGATAAATAATTTTAAATGTCTATTTTAAAATTTGCTTTCTGCAGGGTCACAGCAATATCATCATCGTCGCGATAGTCCTGTCTAGCGACGCCAACACCATTTATTCGGCTGGCGACAAAGTTCATATCCTTTTAATCCATAAAAACATGAACTGTAGCATCGTATTACGTGTACACGGTAATTGTTCTCTGATGAAGCCATAAAAATGCAAGTGATTGTGCAGTAAAGGTAACCCACAAACAAAGCGGTAATATGATCTTAATGGTCACAATTATGGTTTTATCATAAATTATGGACAGAAGGCTGGTCAATGATATCTCGGATACACACATGCATCTGGCATGCATGACTGCTGCCCATGCTGGTATGTAGAAATCCTCTTGGAACAGTTAGGTGTAAAACTTGTTGAACACAACCAGACACAGCGTCGTTTCCTTTCCCCCACTTTGCCCCCCCCCCCTAGTTTTCAACCAACACTTTTTGAGATTCACAGCAAGCTGAAGACAGCCGTGTACGTGGTTTCAAATTTCAGGGTTTGTTTCCCTTACGATGATCCAACTATGAGCGGAAAATTGTTTTGATATGTTCAGTTTTTTTCGTTGAAATTGGAAAAATAGGCCTGGTCACGTGCATTTTTCAAAAAGTTGTAACACTGATGTTTTCAATATCTATCAATCTTTTCAAGCCTCACGGATTTTAAAAGTCTGGCGCTGCCAGTAACCAGACATAAGACAAGTAGCTTCAAGGGATATTGTACTTTATATAAACATGAACAAAACGTAATAATTGCCAGTTGATAAACTGAATCATTGAAGGTAGAAAACTTTTAATGTAAACACCCTCCACATATCCACCTGCCTTGTTTTTAAAATACACAGTCTTCAGCGGTGGCACATAACGTCCGTGTCTTACCATTGCAGGGTAATCCCATATATTTTCCACCCAATGTCAAATACAGGCTTGCATATCGCAAAGCTTGGAAAGTGGACTGCTGAAAAAGAAAAAATCGTGACGTCATTTCATCCCAAAATAAGGACTTAACGTTTACAACAACAGCCGGGCGCGTATCGCGTAACATCGACGGGGCGAGTAACACGGTGTTTTATCCACGTCTATGACGTGTAACGGTTGAATGACCGAAGACCCGATATAGAAAATGCCAAAGGATTAGTCAAAATCTAATCAGCGAATATCTGTTCAAATGACATCGACTACCCCCGCCCCCCTCCCTCCAAAAAAAAAAGGTCACAGGGATGGCACGCCCGACGGTTGGAATCATAGGGAACCAATCAGCGATCGAGATTTGACGGTTCAATGACTCGCCCGACGGTTGTAAAAATAAACGCCCGGCGGGAAGAAATTGAGCATCATATCTGCGCTTTCCGGGAACCTATCAACGGTCTAGATACTGCGGTGATGATATGATGCACGGAGTTAGTACAGACGGTCCAACCTCGTCCCCAGGGCGTCAAGCGGTACGCGCCCACCACTACCTGCTTGCTATTGGAAACGAGGTTGGAAATAAAGTAAGCACTGGGGACGAGGTTGCAAGCGGTCTAATTGACATAAAATGGCACACCCCCATTGCTACGAAATGACCAAGACGCTAATTAGTGCGAGAAAGTAAAAACCTAATTATGCAAGTGCACTACACAACAATGCAACTATTGCTCTTTGTCAATGACGTCTTCGGCCAAAACTGGTTTCGCACTAGTATATGGACCTTTAATGATTATGTACGAACACAAGCTGCTTCGTGGTTTTGGTAGGGCTTTAAGGGAGTATGTTTGGGGGACCCCCGCGTGCAACCCCCCCCCCCCCCCCCGCGTGCAACCCCCCCCCCCCCCCCCCCCCCCAACTAACCAACACCAATTTTTTTTGGTGCATTTTAGGGTCCTAAAACACATTTTGGATGTTAACAGTAAAAAAAAATCCGACGCTCTGAAGATATCCAAGATGGTGGCCAATATGGCCGTCGAAAAAGGTAAAAACTGGAAATAAAAGGCATATATCAGCCAAATTATGTAATAAAAGCATTACAAAAATGGTTAGTTATGTGTTTTGAACCGCAAAAAGTCATTTCTGGTAGCTTTTTTTTGCAACATGTTTCAAATTCAAAATGGCGGCCAATGTGGTGGCCAAAATCGCCGCCTAAAAACGATGGAAAAAGTCATATATCAGCCTAATAATATGATAAAAATCATATATATAATTGTTAGTCATATGTCTTTGAGTTCACAAATTCATTTCTGGTATCCCTTTTTTGCTATCATGCTTCAGATGCATGATGGCGGCTAAGATGGCGGCCAATATGGCCGCCAAAATGGTAAAAAAAGGAGAAATTCATATATAAGCCAAAAAGTGTGATAAAAGCATCAAGAAAATTGTTAGTTTTATGTTTTTACCCTCGCAAATTGATTTCTGGTATCACTGTTTTGCTATCATGCTTCAAATTCAAAATGTAGGCCAATATGGCTGCAAATATGGCAGCCAATCTGGCCGCCAAAGTGATAAAAAAAAAGTAATAAACGTCATTTATCCACCAAATTATGTGCTAAAAGCATCAATAAAAATCATTTTTTTACCCTCGCAAATTCATATCTGGTATCTCTTTTTTGCTATCATGCTTAAAATTGAAGATGGCGGCCAAGATGGCCGCCAGTATAGGTGCAAGAAGTGGTCAGATGTGAGAAAAATGACATATACCAGCCAAATAATATGATAAATGCATATATTTAACTATTAGATATAGGCTTTTAACCCTTACAAATTCATTTCAAGCATTCTTTTGTTTTGCTACCATGAACCAAATTCAAGATGGCTGCCATTATGGTAGCCACGAGATATCAAATTTGACAATAGCTGTATATTTGAAAGTTAAGATTATGTATTTGAGACTTCATTGCATGTCTGGACTTGTCATACCTGCAAACATGTTCCAAATTTAAGATGGTGGTCTAAGTGACCGTAGTAAGGCCCGGCTTCCATCACCGGCAGGTTTAAGTACAGGTCAGCCGGTAGCTCGACCGGTTAGTTTAATCCTCTTCAAACCAGCCGAGCAACCGGCCAGACTCTGGCTGAGGCACCAACCATATCTATTCTGTGCATGCCTGATAACTGCAGGTCCAACATCTGGGAGTGGGACTGAGCAACAGGGGTAATTTAATAATCCGCTTTATCCTCCGCGGAAATTTTATCTCCTAAAGAGCTCATGGCTACATTAGTTTGCTGCTTTTTTTACTAATAAGGCGGTCATATTGGCCGCCACATCTGCCGCCATATTGGCCGCCATTGTGAATTTGAAGCATGAAAGCGAAAACGAGATACTAGAAATGAATTTGCTAAGGTAAAAAAACATATAACTGAGAATTTTATTGATGCTTTTATCTCATTATTTGGCTGATATATTACTTTTAGATTTTTTTTACCATTTCGGATACCAGAAATGAATTTGTTAGGGTCAAAATCATATAACTAACAATTTTATTTATGATTTTATCATATTGTATATTAGGCTGATATATGTGTCATTTTTTTCCGTTTTTGGATATCTTGGATATCTCCAGAGCATCGGATTTTTTTTACTGTTAACATCCAAAAAGTGTTTTAGGACCTTAAAATGCAACCAAAAATATGGTGTTGGTTAGTTCTGGGGGAGGGGGTGCACGGGGGATACCCCATATACATACTCATCTAATTTGGGCGCGTCATTTACATAGTGATATGTGTCAATTGTTTTGGTTTTGCTGAAAGAACACTAACCTATTTTGTGATCCGTGAACAAAACTTTAAAAGGGTGTTCGTTTAAAAATTCCGTAACTTGAAAAGTACATCAATGATTTGAATGATTTTTGTACGAAAAGATGGCTTTTAATTGGGCTTTCATAAACTTGATTTTGAAGTGCTACAGGCAGAACTTCATTGAAACAATGGGTCTGCCATTTGGGTTTCCTTTTTTTTTTTTTTTTTTTGCTCACCCTGTATGTTGAGTATTTTAAATGTCTGTCTGATACAGTGAAACCTCGATAAATCAAACCTCAAGGGAACAGGTTAAAAATTTGACTTAAGCAGAGTTTTGAGTTAAGCATGATTGTATATGTTATTGTTAAGGAAAGGTATTGACTCAACAGTTGTTTTGAGTTAGTTAGCAGAGTTTGAGATTATTACCCCTTTTCTCCCGAGGAAGCTTTTCAAGTCATCATTATGTTTATTTTATTCCTTGGATTATTCCTTAACTGTCACACTCTACTGGGATGCCGAGAGTGGTGAGTGTGACGTAGTTGCGCCGGGAACGGAGACCCTACTAAACGTGGCGACGGGCGTCACGGCCATGAGCACCAACGGCAACACAGTAGCCTCCCTTATGAATGGCGAGATTCGCTTCCTCAACACTGAAACGAAGACTTACACGTGAGTAACACTCAATGGAGGGGGACACCATTGTCCAAAACCTCCGTGTTATGTATGGAAAGCGATCTTTGATTGTGCAGTTACAACTGAAGTCATCAAAACGCTCAACCAATGACAAACAATCAAGCAGTTTTTAGTTACGACTGCCAAAATGCTTATTTACGTCCTACGAAACTGCATCGTCAGCCATATCCAATGTGGACGTTAAGGAGAATACACGAGAAAGTGTGGATTCGTAATTTAAGAATTCACGAGGCGCGAAGCGCCGAGTGAATTCGTATATTAGTAATTAGTGAATATAGTATTCTTCGACTTAAACCATTGCGTCAACAGAAGTATAAGAAAGAATGCTGCAACCTGACGCCACTTTTTTCTTCATATATCATCTCAATGAAGGCCATTTGTTGCAAAATTGATAATAAGACATGAATCTGGGACTGATAAATGTTTCCAAAATTGTTAGGAAGTACTTGAAATGACTCTCCATAAACGTTGTACACAAGTGCGGAAGTGGCGTCAGGTTGCAACATTGTTTCCTGGCGTGTTTAGCATGTGTATCGCCACATACGTCAAAATCTGACAGTGAAGATACATTGGTAATTTTCGGAAAGCAAATTTTCACGCAGACGGTCCTATTCATGCTCATTATGGAGAACAATTGTCCGACGTTTTCAAAGTGTGGATTCGTAATTCCGAATCCACACTTTACTTAAGATTCTTCGTTCCGAATCCACACTTTGTGACCAGTGTTAGAGATTCGTAGATCCGAATCCACACTTTTAACAATAGTGTGACGTCATAGCAATGGTTTAAATGACTATATACACACCTTATAGTTCACCAACGGTGCTAATAATCTGTGTGTATTATCTTCTGAATGATGTACGTACTCTAGCAAGTGCTGAAACAATGGGGTGAAAGTCGGGGGAAAAATCACTCGGGAGGGACTCGAACCCACGACCTCCTGCTTTCTAGTGCAGATGTCTTACCACTCGACCACCGAGCTAACGAATCGGTTGGCTGGTTCGAATCTGATGTACATATCAGCGGGTACCGCATTAACTATTCGTAAGATGGAACTTTGCGTCGGGTGGTGTAAATCCAAATAAAGACTTACACTGCAAGACAACTACCTAATGCAGGGGTGAAGCAAGTCAGTCTTTACTGGAGGGGGTGTCATGCCAAGAGGCACAGTTTCACTGTTGAAGGTCTGAGCACAATAGTTAGGACCAAAGAGGGGGTATGGTGGGGCTATTGAAATCGTCATATGTTTTGTGGCGAAATTGCAACTGTGGTATGCAATACGGTACATGGAAAACTTTGTAATAGTATAAACAATTTTTTTTTCAAAGTAGAGCTCCAAGCGAAGTTCGGAAGGGTGGCGACCCCCCCCCCCCCCCCCCCCAGTTTGGTTAGTTTAGTGTACACGCATGAGCAAGCTTAGTAGCATTCAAGATCTCACATCTAGTCTTAAGAGTCCTTCCAGAGAACACGTATTTCTGTTCCCCCAGACATTTTCCCCAAGGGACAGAATTACCATCATGATTTCACATGATGACCGAGGCTATTGTTTACATACAATCGAGAAAAGGTATTTGGTAATAATTCGGCAATTTTGTTTTTGATGTTTGCAAATGTAAAATATTTATTTCCTTCCAATTCAAATCTTCCTAAAACGTAAAAGTATTTGTTAATTGCAGAGATGAAAGGATCGAACTTGACAACCAGGCAAAATGCATAACAGCCAAGGGAGATTTGATGGTGGTCGGCACAGTCGGAGATGTAAGTCTGAATTCTCAATAACTTAGGGAGACTTGCAGACATCTCTAACAGTGTCATTAATGTGCCTGACTGTCTCTTGTACTCCTTAACCTTCCACAGATTTGCATGTTCAAGAATAAAACCAAAGTTGACTCGAAGGTGATCGGCTACATTGCCAATGCGGCCCACTTGAGTCCCATGGACTTTTTGGCTGTGGGCGGAAGCGTAAGTGTTCCTTCCTTTGAATAGCTTCTGCAATACATTTACTGTAAATACACCCCCACCCCCCCCCCCCCCCCCCCCAATGTAAATTACACTACTCGTTTAATTGCTGTAAATCCTGTTGGAGGGTATGCTCGTCAGAGGTAGATCGAATAACACGATACATGAGAATGTCATCGGCAAACATAACACAGCTAGATGACACGGAGTTGGACACATTGTTTATAAATAAATTGAAAAGAAGCCGTCACATAACACTACCCTGAGGCACACCTGATGTAACATCAGCCCATGGAGCGACAGCGCCCTGAAAGAGAACCCGCTGCCTCCGACCAGTCAGAAAGGACTTAACCCAATGCCACAAAAGACCCTGTGCATTGATTTCGGTTGCAAGCTTTTTCAACAATGTGTGGTGTTGCATCGTGTCAAATGCGTTCGATATGTCCAGGAACACAGCGTCAATTCTCGGAGGGCGACGTTCATCCAGGGTTGACGTCCAAGAGTGGAGGATATTACTTAATTGGGTCACGCAACTCCTGTGCTTGACAAATTCATGTCGGTTGGGATTCAATAGATTATACAAGTTGACATGATCAGAAATGGCAGATGAAATGATTCTTTCAAGGACTTTGCAGAGAATGGATGTAAGTGCAACTGGCCGGTAATTTGTCAAGGAGGTTTATTGACCAAAATGAACGCCGGTTGTCATTAGAGGAATATATATCATTAACATATTGCCAGCAAGATTTGTGGGTAAGCTTCTTAACATTGTTACGAATAACCTTGTACGAGTTCCAGTCATTCAACAAGCCAGTTCTCTTTGCTTTGTTGAAAAGTTGGTGTTTTCTATTGATGATGTGTTTCAGTTCTAGTGTGATCCGTTTGGTCACTCTGGGGATGGAGTCCTGAATAGCGGTATCCAACAGATCCACTACGTTGTCGGCTGACCGGGTAATATCGTCGGCATCAATGAACGCCGACCAGGGAACCAGGTGAATTAGTTGGCGTAAGTGGTCAAAGTCGCCGCAACGGGTCTGTAGAAAAGATCGGAGTGTAGCTAGTCTTGGTGGAGATGTAAAGGAGCGAAATCTGATGTGAATACCAAGATGATCTGAATGGAGAGGGTTCGGTACTGTGGTAACTGATGAGAAGCGGTCAGGGCGATCCGAGAAGACAAGGTCAATAGTCGCACCTTCCATTGGATCAGCGTGGTGGTCAGATGGTTTCGTGACCGACCTTACAAGCTGCTGAAGGTTGAAATCGGCAGATATTTCCAGAAGGTGAGATCAATGAGCTGCAGCCGGTCTTTGATGGTTGAAGTCCACGTTGAAATCCCCAACAAAGAGGCACCCATCGTAGTTATCGACGTGAATGGATTCCATCGCCTCTCTAAGTTTGGGCCAATAGGCAGCACTCGAGGATGGGACGATACACAAGACCGAGTAGCCAACTCTCAGATTGCAGTTTGAGAGAAAGCCACATGATGGGCGAAAGTACATAATCTGTTTGGAGTCAAAGATGAACGAACCGCTGTAAGGATACCGCCACCGCAGCGTCCCTGACAACGGTCCCTGCGGTATATTACGTAGTCATCTGGAAAACCAAGAATGGAGTCGTTGTCATGAGGAGTTAACCAGGTTTCAGTGAGGCAGAGAATATCGGCAGCTTGTGTAGAATGTAGATATATTTGCAGCTCGGGACCCTTATTGCGAATGCTACGGGAATTAGCAAGGAGACATGATAAATCGTTTTGTGGCACTGGATCAGAACGTGGGCCAGGGTTGGGGTAGACATCACCACATACAAATAGGGGAATTGAAAATGTTGCTGATGAGTTCTTGTAATACAGGATACGAGCCTTGCAGTAGCCCTTATGATCAAATGCCAGTTTGAGTGATACAGAGAAAGGGAGATGACATATCTGACATCATGCTGGGGTGGAAGGAATGGTTTCAGAAACAATCAGTGCCAGCCATGTCAAAAAGATCCAACACAATGACACCCATTGTTGCCAATTGTCCTGAGGAATGTCAGTGACGCAATCTTATTGTTCCTTACCGACTTGGGTCCACCCGAAAGATGTCCAAAGCAGCACAGACGATCCCAAAATGCTGTCAGATTTTTCACAATCATCAGAAGGAAACAGCGGTCTGATCTTGGTCCTCTGGTATCACTGATGTTATATTATATTAATAGCAAAGGATCACTCACATTCGGCATACAGAAATAAGGAACTTCGGGTTATCTCAGACACAGATGTAACAGAATGATGACCATAACACAGCACCTTCCTGGGGTTGTTTGAGTTCATTCCTCTCCAATGATATCACTACGTCAAATATTATGTCACCACATCTGAAAATTCTGAAAAGTTTTAGACTTGGGTCATAAAAAGTAGCATTTACAATTGAGTAAATCTTATTAATATCCATACCTAAGTTATGGTTTTACCAAAGTCGTGACCTCTCGAAAGGTCACCAGAAATATAACATGACCTATATATGGACAATTCTCTGTATAGCATGAACACCTTTCATTTAGACATGAATTGTGAAAAAAATGATGGGGTTGAAGAATAAATCTTACAAATAACTAAAATAACAGGTATAAAGGTCGTTGACCTCTAAAAGGTCACCAGAGGTCAGATATGATTTTTTTCACACATCCGATCGTTATTTTCCTGGTATGAAGACCTATGACATAGACTTGGGCCATAGGAAAACCCATTAATTTGATGCCAATGAACCTAAACAATACATTCTTGATGAGGTATTCCCGATGAATGGCAGTCATCTTGGATATGCTGCCATCTCGGATTTCATTTTTAATAATGCCGTGATGGAGCTGTGGATGTAGACCGTGATTTATCCAACTGGTAACACCAGTAACCTCTGGCACCAGACAAACAAATGCATTTTTTTCTAATTTGGGGGGGGGGGGAATGACCTTCAAAGCATGAATTGAATATAATATGCGATATTTGCACTGATATCGGACGAGCCAAAGTGAAATGTTACACTTGGACGATATTTGGTTGCTACATCAGGCAACCACGTTAGATCAATCAGTCATGCGATGTGGAAGAAATGTAGGTAAATGCCACCGTAGATTTGCACCGTAAAGATCACTTTCAAGGTCAAAGGTCAAATATGGTCTGAATGTTCATTCATTTGTTAAAAAAAAACATTTAATTGTAGTACAGCGGAGTTATCATTAACAAATTACCATAAAACATTTCACCTCCATGTATGGCGTTAAACCGCAAGAAGGGAATTTCACCTCAACCACTTCATGCTCTAAGCTATTTCCGCATAACTGAGCAAACAATATGGTTCTGGTAAAAGCCAAGTCAATCAACAATGTGGTAAAGAAAGGGGTAATAGGTCTCAAATATCGCTTAGTTGCTCTTGTATCTTTTTGTCTGACCAACAGGACAGCAAGGTGCACATTTTTGACGTTTCAAGGGACACATTGACGGAACTACATCAGCTTCCTGCTTCAGGAAACGTCGGCGCGGTGCAGTTTTCTAGCAACGGGACGCGCCTGGCCTGCGGTGATGAAAGCGGGCAAATCCTGGTCTGGACAGTCAGTAGATTTGGTGATCGGTCGATTCTTCTTCAAGTACGTACGATACCGGTTACTGGTTCCACGCACGCAAAATATCACTGCAAAGCGCGTATATTTAGTGGCGTAGCCTGGTTCCCAGACGAAATGATGCTGTCGACTGTTGAATGTTCAATAACCGACTTGGCGAAAACGTTTTCTATTTGTACACAACATATTGGTATGGGAATATTTTGAATCGCTAGCGAATTCTATGCGAGCACTCTGATTGCTTTAGATTCCAGCGTGTATTCTAGGCCGCTACGGAAGGTCATTCTCATTACTTCGAGGGTTTGTGCTTTGTGTTGTGTTACATTCCAAAATTCATTATAGGGCAAACACGACTCAAATAAATCAAGTATATCACAATGATACATTTTATTTCTATACAAAATTGACCAAGCTGAGGGATTTGGCCGTTAAAACGTCGCCTGTTCTGCAAAGATGTCCCGGCGTATTGAGAAGAACTCCCCATGTAACGGAATGAACGAGTCCTCATTTGCAATGCTTTGCGCCATTGGATCTCACCGCATAGATTCACTGCATATGTATTGCGCTGCACGCTTATATGAATATCGTTCCGAGAACGTATCCGTCAAGTCGTTAGATGTGTCGCAACCCGGCCGATTACGTACTAGTCTTATAACAGCCGTGCCGATGGAGTTCGACTGAAGTTCACAGACAAAATACGAATATATAACGACTTGTCATCAAGTCTAGACAGTCCAGGGTTTTGTGGTGAGCCGACCCTTTTCATATACTTCTGCTGGCCCTGGAGGGACATCGCATATCGCAAACGTGTGCGCATACGTATGCGATGTCGCGAAATTTATCGCGAATGTGTGCGCACACGTATGCGATGTCGCAAAATTTATCGCGAATATGTGCGCACACGTATGCGATGTCGCGAAATTTATCGCGAATATATGTGCACACGTATGCGATGTCGTGAAATTAATCGCGAATATGTGCGCACACGTATGCGATGTCGTGAAACAATTCGCGAATATGTGCGCACACGTATGCGAATTTGTTTGCAATGTCGTGAATTTTATTGCATACCTTGTCGCATACTTTTCAGTAAAATTCCTAATGAACTGGGGAGTTGTAGCAGCTAGTCTGGAAATTTGCGCGCGCAAGTTTCAAACTTGCGCGCGCAAATTTCAAAGATGCACAAGTAGCAAGTTTGCGCTCGACAGTACGAGTAGTAACGATTGCACGAGGAACAGCGTGCGCGCGAAGGTTTATTAGTCAGACCTTATTTATATCTAACAGTACGTCTAGATTCCAGACTAGCTGCTACAACTCCCCAGTTCATTAGGAATTTTACTGAAAGGTATGCGACAAGGTATGCAATAAAATTCACGACATTGCAAACAAATTCGCATACGTGTGCGCACATATTCGCAAATTGTTTCACGACATCGCATACGTGTGCGCACATATTCGCGATTAATTTCGCGACATCGCATACGTGTGCGCACATATTCGCGATAAATTTCGCGACATCGCATACGTATGCGCACACGTTTGCGATATGCGATGTCCCTTCAGGGCCACCATATATACTACATACAAATATGTAAAAGTTGAAGTCAAGGGGGGGGGGGGCTGGTACCATCTGTCGATGGGGTTGCTGTTCAGAAACGACGATTATGCACACAAAACGGCCAATAAATAGTGCTTTTCAGTGCGATGCATGTGCGAAATTCAGTAAAAGGCACCTAAAACAGCACATGCCACAAAAAAGGGCACAACCTCTTTAAAAAAGGGCAGTTTTTCCAAAAAAGGGCACTTCTTCAAAAAGGGCACTCTTTAAAAATTATTGGGGAGGTATACCCCGTTTAAAAAGAGGCACTCGAATGAAAAAAAAGGCAGGCTTTACAAAATATGATGCCGGGAGTGTCTACAAGTTTACAATTTCCTCCCTCATCACCAAAGGAATCTACTCGTACTTTATCGAACGGAGCCTATATATGCCGATCCGTGTCCTTCACTTAAATCTATAGACTCTGCAGTCAGTTTCTGGCTATATGTTTTGAAGGACGTCTTTACCAAGGCGCAGAAAAAGAAATCAGTTAGAAGTGCGACCGCTTTTAAAACCAACGCAGAAGACTTTATTTTAACAAAAATAAAATGACAAGGATCTATATATGTCACTTATAATTTTAAAACAAATATTGAGTGGCTTGAAATTGTGAAATGGGAGGAATATTATTGCTCGTTAAAATCTGGACTTTTCCATTTCACTCAGCTTTGCCTCGTGACATGGAAAAGTCCGGATTTTACCCCGCGATGATATTCCTCCCATTCCACTCTAAGACTCTCAATAGTTGTGTAATATTATCAGCCAGGGAATTAAGGATGCCATCTACAAACCTGTTCCGATCAATCCGATGATTCGTTCCATCTCGATTGCAGGCTCTCACGTCAAAATCGTTTCGCGGTTTGCCATTCCCACGGACTTTCCCATCATTAACTCTTACCGCATGGTGCATCAAATTCAGGGGTGCTCATCTGGGTGATGTTGTCCTATAGCAGGAACGTGGTCTTCAACTAAGTATCTGTGCGTCAACCATCTGGAACTTTTAGCAGTTTTCAAGGTCCCTAAATCCTTACAGAAAAGAGTGGCAAACTGCATAATACTGGTCAAAACAGACAACTCTACAGTTTTGTCTTACTTGAACCGTCAGGGAGTGCACGCTGACGTCAGAGCTTTTGAGTTTGTGCATCCTTCTACACATTTCACTACAAGCCCCCCCCCCCCCCCCCCCCCTGTCTGGCAAAGACAACGTCATTGCAGGTGCGCTATGTTGAGGCCGTATGATTCCCTCAGAGTGGTCTCTCCATCCCTAACAGTGCAAGTTTTCAATACTATGGACACTTCACACATAAATCTCTTTGCATCTCATCTTGACAACCAGATGCCAACCTTCTGCTCCTACCACGCCCACCCTCAGTCTTGGGCAACGGATGCACTCCGCATGAGCTGGTCGGGGTTCCTGGGTTATGCCTTCACTCCAATCTCCTACCACGTGTCTTAGAGAAGATAAGCCAGGAGAGATGCAAGATAATTGCATACATTTGCTCCATTCTGACTCCTTGACCTCCTAATCCACCCGCCTATTGTCTTGCATAAACCTCAAGACCTCCTGATGCAACCAGTCTCCAAGGCACTTTATCCAGAGCCATACAGTCTCCATCATACTGTCTGGATGCTGTCAAATTGTGCTCCCGACCAGCAGGTTTTCAGAGATCGCTGCCGCCCTGGCAGCAAAGAGTAGACGGTATTCACCAAGAATACCTTATTGCAATCCTTACAGCATTATGTCAAATTGTGTTCCTAAGAAAATGTCAATCCCAATTTTGCATCTTTAAAGAACATTGCGGATTTCTTCGTCCGTTTGCATAATTCTGTCTTCATATTGGCAATTTGTGGCTGCAAATTGGCTATTGGGGTTATCAAAGAGGGCTTTCGGGATGGTCCGACCTGTGCCACAATACCCTGATCTCCCATCGTATTAAGGGTATGTTCGTCGAGAGATCGCCAATGAAGAACCTGACTCCATCTTGGGACCTTGATGCTGTACTGCACAAGTTGGCTAAAGACTTCTTTGAGCCTGCTGGGTCCTCTTCTCTTCATTATCTGACAGTTAAAACAGCCTTTCTGCTGGCAGCTTCTACAGCAGGTCGAAGAAGTGAACTCCATACTCTCTCCATAGCCGTAGGCTATTAGGCTGGGAACTTGAAGGCGTTCGTGCCAAATTCCAGAGATAAAGTGTCTCTTCCAGCTCTTGGGTTTGGCTATATCAGCGATTTTGCAGATAGCAAAGAAAAAAAATAACTATCCACTTTTACATCATGCTATCTGCGAGATGATCTCCAAGTGGACGGCCGGATGGGCAAACATAGATCTCGTAAAGCTACTGACCCATCCTCCTTGGAGCATAAGGTTGTCAGCTTACGGGTATGGCTTAACAGCTTAAATTGGTTTACTCATATGTCTTCCAATTAGGCGTTGTTAAGACATTTAGCCTCTGAGCAGTGTTGGAGTCGAGTCCTCAAAACCGAGTACAGAGTACTCCGAGTACTTTGGGGGCCGAGTCCTGGGTGAGTCCAGGTACACTGTGACGAGTCCGAGTCCAGAGCACCGAGTCCGAGTACATTCAAAGCGAAGCACTGGGCCGAGCCGGAGTACCTAAGTCCAAATCCGAGTCCCAGTCCGTGTTCGAGTACAATACCAAAAAAAACAAAAAAAACAAAAAAAAACAAATAATAATAATACATTGAATAAAATAGAAACAAACACAACGTGCAATCTAATCGTCTTTACCAACTGGTTAACACTAAACAACTTATATTAGTGTAAAAAATGTAAACATAAAACATAAAACAAAATTCATCAAATCAATGAACGAACTGGCACTTTTTGTTTTCACATTTCTTTAAAAAAGACACCAGAAGTATTGGCTATTTTGAGGAAACCTTTGAGCGAACATAAGAAACATGAGCTTGGCTGCTCCTGATTCACGAATCCTCAGTGTTACGACTTCGAATCTTAGTAACATTGGGGAAGCGTACGAGCACTCCAACACTGCTTCTGTGTCCATGCTGCATTATGTCCCCACCTTGCATTAGGGGTTGCTACTCTGCATATTTTCTGCAATAGAATCTCCCAAATCTACAAAGACTTTCTACTCTGATGAGAAAATACTCACCTCCGATACCATCCCCAAAAGAGAGAGATAGGTGAGATTTATCTTTGGAATCCTGGGACTTACAGGGTGTGTGTGAGTTTGTTTCTGCATTCAATAGCGGATGTTGAACAATAAAGGACAATAGGTGCCAACATTTCTTGAAGGTCCCGAATTTGGCGAGGTGTACAAAACATATAGGAGGTCTTCCTAAAAAGTTAGTACAAACAAAGGAGAGATAATAGGTGGTCCACGGGTGCAGGCAAATACACACTTGTGTGTGTGCGCGCGTGATTATGGTGTAAATTGAGGACACACACGTGCAACATCATCGATAAATCGAGGGCAGAAACCGAATCGAGGACTCCTTGGTTGAAAAACGTGTACAAAAGAGAAACCAATCAGAGCTGTTGTGAAATGAAAAGTTAGACTATAAACAAAGGAAAAGTGAAGCGGAACAAAAGAAAATTCTCGATTTACACCATAAACAAACGTGTATGTGTACAAGCATTACATTTACTGTGTTGACTTCCGAACAAAAGATGTCCACATAAAAATAAACCAGATAGTAGCGACGTTGTGTTGACTTGCCCACGTCCACGCGTTGCGGCTATGGGGTACATCAATTTCTAAAGACAGACTTGCGGGGTACCATTGTACTCCCTATTGTTGCCCTTTGTTCCCGGTGCCCCATAATGGCCAATATGTAAGGGTACCCATACATGTTTACGTTACATACCTAGTGTGGATATTCTTTTGTTTTCGTGTAGTTTAGAAAACCCTGTGAAAACATTTTTCTCACACTGTGAAAACTCTTTCAACCCAATTTTTTTCTATTCCCTTGTTTCTTTTCATTTTGCCATGCCTCTAAACCTGCTTTCCAGAGAGGGGGAAATATTGTGTGAGTGTGTAAACACCGGCAATCGTGGACCCCCTACTGTCCCTTATCCTCATTCCTTTGTGTGTACACTAACTTTTTAGCAACAGCTCTTATTGGTTTTGTACACGAATTTCAATCGTGGACTATCGGTCAATCGTGGACGTATTGTTTGTGCCGGCCTTATACCCTTTTGTTCTAGGTCCACGATTGCCGGTGTTTACATACTCACACAATATTTCCCCCTCTCTGGAAAGAAGGTTTAGAGGCATTTTTGGTTAGATGTATCGGTTGCAAAGTGAAGAGAAACACTTTAGAGAATCATAGAAACAAACTGGGTTGAAAGAGTTAACAGTGTGAGTAAAATGTTTTCATGGGTGCTCTTACATATTGGCCATTATGGGGCACCGGGAACAAAGGGCAACAATAGGGAGTACAATGGTACCCCGCAAGTCTGTCTTTAGAAATTGATGTACCCCATAGCCGCAACGCTATGTATTTCGAGATTTCTAAGGGGACAAAAGAGAACAAAAGAAGGGAATTAGCTGTATGCTTAGTGTATGAGTGCTAGTGCGTGTTATGGTGTAAATCGAGGACACCCACGTGCAGCATCAACAATAAATTGAGGAGGAACCAATCAAGGACGACTTCCATTAGAAAGCATACATGTACAAAACATATGGAAGTCTTCCTAAAAAGTTGAAGTACAAACAAAAGTGGGACAATATGACGTCCACGATCACGACTGGTTGTTTGTGTGAGTAGGTTCGTGGTGTAAATCGAGGACACACACGTGCAACATCATCGATGAATTGAGGTCAGGAACCAAATAGAGGACGACCTCGTTTAGAAAAAGTGTACAAAACCAATGAATGAGAGCTGTTGCAAAAAAAGTTAGGAGTATAAACAAAGGAAAAGGGAAGAGGAACATATACCATAAACAAACGTTGGTGTGTGGACATGTAAACAAAAGATGTCCATATAATGTAAGTTGTGTTGACGTTATGTGGACTAAGCCGTGTCCACATAACATTTCGCCCTCTCTGGAAAACAGGTTTAGAGGCATTTTCGGGTTAGGGTTATTCGTAGCAGAATGAAGAGAAACAATCAAGGAAATCAAAAACAAAAATTGGGGTTGAAAGAGTTTTCACAGTTTAAGTAAAGTTATTTTTTGTACCGAGTTTTCTTAACTACATGAAAACAAAGGAGTGTCCACTAGCGTATGTAACACAAACATGCGCGTGTGTGTGATGGCGTAATGCTCTTTTTGTTATTAATCGTCGGCGGAATTGCTTGTGCATGCGCATTAGAATTGCATTTATCGGAGGTGAGCATTTTCAAGTTAGCATAAAGAATCTCTTTAGATTTAGGAGAATTTTAGGCACCATTGGAAAGCTCTTGTTCCATAAATGTAACATTAAAAAATTCATTTTAGGGCATACACGACTCAAATAAATCAAGCATATCACAATGATGCATAATATTTCTATACACAATTGACCAATTAAGCTGAGTGTATTGGTCATTAAAACGTCGCCAGATCTGCACACATGTCCCTGACGTAATGAGATGAACTCCTCATGTAACGAAACGAATGAGTCGTCATTTGCATAGGGGTGCAGGATTGGATCTCACCGCAAAAATGCACCGCATATGCATTGCGCTGCTTGCATATATGAATAACGGTGCGAGAACGTAAGCGTCAAGTCGTTAGATTTGTCGCAACCCGGCCGATTACGTATTAGTCTTATACCAGCCGCGCCGATGGAGTTCGACTGAAGTTCTAACGATTTGTCATCAAGTCTAAATGGTAATACACTTGGGACCAGTCTCAAAGTACGGATAAGCTAATGACTTTCTGTTTTTTTAAGAACCTTTGTTCATTTCATGGATGCTGAGGAAAGCTGTAAGCTCTCAGGCCCTGTCACATTGTCACGCTGTAGCCTCCCGCGACAAGACAGTGCTGAGACGCAAGACTCGACGACATCGTGAAACCCAAACGACATCTGAACTTTATCGGAACGACTTCTTGAGCGTCTTTAGGCATCATACAGGTCGTGCATGGTCGGTAGTGGAGCCACGATTAGTTTCAACAGTTGAAACACATCGCGATGGTTGACAAAAATCCTAAACGGATCAAAGTATGTTCTCTGTCTGTACTCAAACGGTTGCGTCGTAACGGTGTCGTAACAATTCGTAACGAAATCGCAATAGTCGATACGAGGTCGGCAGTGGTCTTACAAGGTCGGCCAATCGTTTTAGCCGACTTTGATACGACCATTACGACGTGACATTCCGAAGATGACATCACTCTGTCTTTTTGGCATCGGTTTTTGGTATTTTGTGTCGGTACTAAGTCGGTTGCGTTGGTACTCTGTCGGCTCAGTCATGAAAAAAATCAGTTGAATGGATCCAAGTCTTTGCGAAGTCGTAGTGAAGTAATATTCGGTTCGAGGTCGTTTCGGAGTGGTAGTATTCGGGACGACATCGTAGGAAATTTGAATTTGGTGCCACTTTTCATACGTATTTTGTACGATGTTCAAGAAATGTTCGTGGTCTCGGCGGAGTCTTGGTCATTGGTTTGGGATGTGTGACAGGCTTTACTCTAGCTTACTCTAAATGCAAACACAGAATGTTGCTTAAGTGGTGATGCATTTCTTGGGCACTAAATATGCTAAGGGAATGTGCTTTACCAGTTTTAAACAAGTACGTTTAAAACCTCCGTCTCAATTCAAGTCACAAGCTTTTCAAGTGAATGGTAACGAAGGCATTCCTTTGTCACTGTTTAACCCCTGTTTCATGTGACTGGACTTGTAAAAAGACGTATAAAAGTACTTGTGCAGGACTCGACTACGACACAGATGCAAACGTTGCAATTTTCAGTGTCAACAAAATGGCCTACTTTCGATCCTTAATAACTCTGTTGTTTTCCAATAACCAAAATCTCAGATTATGTAAAATTGACATGATCATATAACAAATTTTATGGAGCAATTATTATCAGTTTTGTGACAGGACGATCAAGGACGATAGAGGTGTGCAATGACATCAGGGGTAATCCTGTTCCAGCAGAAGCTTCCAGTCGCTGCTGGAATAGGTTCAGCCCCGTCTCCAGCGCTGTATCGACATTGGAGGACGTCAAGTCGAAAGTGGCACATTCTGATAGTAATTTATTTTTTTCTACACGAAACGGATGAAAGTCGCTCCAAAACAAATTGTCATGCCTCCTTTACATGATCTGATAATTTGGTTTAATTCCATTGGAAAACATCACAGTTATTACGGATCAAAAGTGTGACTTTTTTTGGACACGTAGTGCATTCCCCGCCTTGATCGTAAACCCGTTGCCTTGGCTTGTCTTTAGGTGGTACGGAATTCCTGGTCTGGCCACGATAGAATCCTGTCGCTCAGTTGGAATCCTGAGGGCAAGCGCATTGCCACGGGAGATTCGACAGGCGACATCGGCATCTGGGATGTAGACAACCTTCAAGAAGGCAACCTGATCTTGGGTAACTTACTGTCGTTTTCTTTCCATGGAAAGTTTTGAAGAAACAGCAACTTGAAAATTTAGCACAAGTAGGTCATCAAAGTTTCCTTTGATTGTGTGCCTATTAATTTTTCCCCTCACACCTGCCCCTCCCCCTACTCCCCGATGTCACGTTTTTTATGCCCCACGGTGAGGAATTTTGGTCACTCAAAGACAGTGTTATCATTGCCGTACTGCATGGAAGGGCAATCACAAGTGCCCTCCACACAAGTAGGCTATGTCGGGGATGTCATTTAAATTTTGCCCGAGGGGTGGGCATTTTGTCACTTCAAAAGCGACAATCCCCACGTCTAGGGTGGGGCAGCCCGGGGAGGGTGGGAGAAACACTTGATAGGCGCATTGGTGATTTCGTTCGACAACTTTATAACTGATTTTTTTTATTCAATTCCCTCTTCCGTTTCCAAAACCTGTTCATGCTTTTTACATTGTATTTCAAAATTGTTACTTTACAGTGAGAAAATTACCTTTAACCCTCGCAGCAGCCACTGGGTTATACAATTCTTCACATTTTCCAAATATGGGCATAATTTTTTTTCAATAGGCCAATTACGCCAAGCTTCCATGTAATTCTCACCCCTACTATACACCACAAGCCTGTAGACTCCCATTGGCCAGACCCTAGCCACTCCGGAGTAAGGACTGTTGAAAGACAGAAGCCAAGATGGCGCCTAATGCCTTTGTGCAGTAATTGGAGATCTTAGTGGCCAACCCCTAAGTGCCGCCGATCCCTTTGTGTCAACCCCTCGTGCCGCTCAGACAGTTTGTAAACAATCCGTGGCCATGTAAATGACCCTTAATCTTGTGCATGTACAGGCATGCCAGGGTTATTGACCAAAAAGCACATGTGGTGATAAAATTCTCCACTTGGTTCCACCACGTAAATTTTTACTAGATCCCAAGTATTGACCCAAGAATAATAGATAACCGGATGTAAACGGACATACAAATTCTAAGATAACATAAAATGGCCATCTTAGTCTTGTCATGAACTCTAATTCACAATATATGGGGATTAAAATTGCTTTGGACTTGCAGGAGGGGGTTATTGACATAAAAAAAACTGGGTGGTATGAAAATCTCTATGTGGGTCCACCGCGTAACTTTTTTGGTCTCCCGGCTCTAAGGGTTAAAGAAACTGTTCCGATGATGCGACATTACATAGGTTATGTATAAAAAAAATCATAAGCATTCCAACATCAGGACTGCATGTAAAATTAGAGCATTAACCATTTTGTACATAAAAACAAGCATTATATTCACTGTGTGGACTTCCAAACAAACGATGTCCTTACATTTCATAACATTTTTTTTTACTTTATGTCTTCGGACAATAATTAAAAATCTATTTAAAAAAAGAATTGTACTGGTCTAGACAACAGTTTGTAAAAACTGTCATCAAAGATGTGTCAGACCACACGTATTGTGTGGAATTTCCCATGCACGTCCACACAAGGTTCCCCCTCTCTTGAAAACAGGTTTAGAGGCATTGGGGGTTAAAAAAGAAGAGGAACACTGAAGGGAATCATAGAAAATAAATTGGGTTGAAAGATTTTAACAGTGGGAGTAAAATGAGGTTTTTTCACAGGTTTTTCCTAATTAATTACACGAAAACAACAAATATCGACACTAGGTTTAAACGTAAACATGGATGTGTTATGTTATGTGTTATCTCACATTTAAAGACAGGAAAGAAGTCTCTTTGACTTAAACTTATGTCCACTTTTCTGATTTTTTTTTGGCATGCCAGAGGCCCATCCATTTTCTCCAGTCACTGCGGTTGCATGGCGAGACAACACCACCGTCGTGTCTGCGGGACACGACAATTGTATCAAGCAATGGACGGTCTAGAAGACATGGAGTCAAAGGTCATTCTCAAAAATCCATTGGGCAACAAACTAGCCATTTTTTGCAAATGGAAGGATTTGTTGATTGCTGTTATTTTTGTCCCTTAGCGAATATATAAAACCAACGAAAAAGCATAAACAGTTAGTCTAAGGATAAAAAATGGTTTTGCATATTTTTGAGAAACACTTGTGTAATACAGCACAAGAATTATGTTTAAATATTTTACTCCACAAGGATTGGTGCAAGAATTAGGCAAGCATTAATCAACATGATTGGTAAAAAAAAACCGGAAAATATTACTGCTTTTTGGGGGTACTTTTTTAAACATGTTTAAAATCTTTACATAGTGCAGGAGTAAAATTTGACACTACAGAAGCTATGTCAAGTTTACCCCCATAACGACCATGTTCTATTCTTACTGCGGAGTACAATTTTACCAAATATTGCCTATTTTTTATAATATATTAGTGTGCAAGGAGTCCATCGGTGGAAGTGGCATTAAGCGCACGCGTTCCACCGGCAAACAAGCGCAGCTAAGCCACTTTCATCAATACCAATGCTTTTAGGAAAAAAAAATATACAGACCATAAAAGCAAGTTCGTGCGCAAACAATCGTTGACCATATTTCAACTAACTTCATTCGAACAAAGGCTGGTTCCAATGCTGGTTACCCATAGCTGAGCACATGGCAGTTCACAACAGGGAACCAGGACCAAAAGGTTTCATGGTGATGTTTTGGCCATCGTTTGACTAGAAGCCGCCTCTCATAAGAAGTGCACGCAGCAAAATCTTAAGTTCCTGCTGATTTTGTTGAATTAGTTTATGATTCTCTATATGTTAGAAATGTTAGAAAGAGAGATTATAATAGTATGCCACAAAGATACTTTAAAGATACGCCTAAAAATTGGGCTTTTGGGGGCACCTTATGATACCTTTAATGCATTAAATACTACGGAGTTATATGTGTATGTCAATCTTTTTCCAGAATATCGAATCTTAAGTAAGTTCTTACCTGAGGCAAACGATTTGAAAACCTTCAGGGTTCTATGCGCAAACAGTAGGCGGCGCTTTTTGATCAACTTTGAAAGTTTCAGTGGAGGGACACAATTTGTGCACGTATGTCTTCGTACTCTTTTATGTTAAGTAGGCCTATGCTATTTTTTTTCAAATTGGGAAGATTGAAGCTTTGATTTTAGCTTCTTTAGAGCTTTGTTATATAGTTAGACGATAGACTTTTAGTTATCTTGAATGAAATTGCAGGGTTGTGGAAAACACTAAAGATATACGATTTTTAAAAAATTATGCTCCTTTTTCAGCTTTGATTTTGGTTGCTGTCATAGTTCCGACAGATGTTTATTTCTTTGTTATCTTGATAATAGTAAAAAATGCTGTATTTTTAATTGGTGTTCATCAGTTCATTATTCCCAATTATATAATATATTATACCAAGGGTGATAGTAGTGATATATACTTTAAATATTTTGAGGTTATGGACAAAAGTGAAACGGTAAAAAGAATGGGCGTTATTAAAGATAGTTTGACGTGTTTTCAAAGGGATTTTTACGTGACTTCCCTGTTTACTGGGATGCGACAAGTTTGCATTACAAATTGAAGACTGCTTTTAAGCAAAAGGTTTACTGGCATCTATTCTTTTTATACAAATGCAGTTTTACTTATCATGAGACTACATATTCATGTCAGCCATGTTACATATATAGAGCTACCAAATACGGCTAACAGCGTTTTGCCATCCAAATGGATAACCGGCTTAATTGTATTGCCCTTGCATCTGATTGGTACTAGGTTTCTCTTTGTATTTGTTTTTTTGTGGGAGATTTGAATTTGGTTAGCAAGTTTAACGCAATATGCAGTGTAGGAGCTCCGTGAAGTTTTCTCGTATCTTTTTGAAGTTGTTCAGTTTCACATTTTAATGGTGTTTACTATAGGTACAGAAGGGATAAAACAATATTAAACTTAAACTGGCTTATAGTTGTGAAGCAAGTATCTGAAGACTTCATTTGTGTGTGTTTCATTTACCCGATAGGAGTAGACTCGTTCTTTTTTAAGTACTGAAAATGTACTTGAAATGAGACCAAACACAAGTGTAATTCTGGGCTGAGTTCTTTATTTTTTACAAAATGATTTTTTTGGGGGGCGTGGTGTTGTGGGTCTAACCCTCCATAAATATTCTGATAACTTTTGTCCATGATTTTCAATGGACATTTGTCACCTGCCCCTACAAAACCTAGACAAAGTTGACAATTTTTTTAAAATACAAGGTGAAGTAAGTATCTGAAGAAACCAAACATCTGTCTGTGTGTCATGTACCCGATAAGAGTAGGCCCTTTTTTTCTGGTACACAAAAATGTACTTGAAATGAGGCCAGACACAAGTGTAATTCTGGGACCATTTACAAAATGTATATAGGCTAGGGACAGATAGCGCTTTCAAGGACCAACAACTGCACATCGATAACTTGAATTCACAACTCACATCTAACAACTGCGCAGTTGTTAAAACCTATCTTGTCGTAAAATATGTTTTTCAAAAAAGAGCAGTGACGCGACATGACTTATTATGCTGCATTTAGAGAGGTTGTTGGTTACCAATTAAGAAGGCGGCGACGATCATCGTGTTCAAAGGCCGCTTGCAGTCACGCAATGAATGGTCCAGGCTTGCAATCACAGTGCTTTAGCTATGGACATTCCCGAGGGATTGGAATGGTAATGGTCAAAATGTAGATCATTGCTCTATGGTTTAAACCTCCATTATTAATTCTTTCAAGCCCGTGTCTGTGATTCTCAAATCTTTTAAGACCTTTAGGACATTTGTGTAAGAGAAGTTGTGCTGGAGTTTCAGTGGTAATTTTGGGACAATATTATTTCTCTCACAAAGATGTCACAGGTTTTGCACCAAAATGGGAACATTTCCGTAACTGAAGTAAAAGAGTAAGAAAACACTTGAAGGGGGGGGGGGTGTTGTCCAACGTCGGAATATGCTATTTTCATTGTAGTCTTTCTTAGTAGTGTGGACATTTCCAGAATCGAACCTCTTCCAATAATCGTATGTTCGATCCTAAAGGTCCACAACTGACGATCGTGTACAAAACATATGGGAGGTGGGGGGGGGGGGTAGATTGAAGGTGTTTACACACTGGGGTACGTGTGTGTGCTCTAACCTTCTATACTCTTTATGGACCTGTGAACAAATTAAAGAGGTCGACAGGGTGCAGGAAGTGTTAATGCTTTGTGGCCTTCCCTACGTCCACACTAGGTTTCCCCTTCTCTTGAAAACAGGTTTAGAGGCATTTTGTGGATGAGTTCATGTGTCGCAAAATGAAGAGGAACATTCCAGAAAATCATGATAAAAAAATGGTTTGAAGAGTGTTCACAGTGCGATTGAAGTAAGTTTTTTCTTCGGTTTTCTTAACTACACGAATACAAAGGAATGTCCACAGTAGGTATGTAGGATAAGTTTGTGTGAGTTTGTTTCTGCATTCAATACTTACTAAATACTAGCAGTTATGAGGTGGTATAGTGCTTACATTTCTCTGACAAAATATCAAAAATAGATTGGCTATAAACTCGCCGGGAAAACAAGTTGCCCTAATACTCCCCTTGTTATTCACATAAAATTGAAGCTTGATTTAACGTCTTTCACAATTTGCTTTACTTTATTTCTTTATTTCTTTATTTTTCTTTTCTTTTTTACCTTTTTTTTAAGGGGGGGGGGTAATGGTGGTTTTCAGTAACTCGGGTTTGTCGGCGTATGAGGTCTTTTTATTGTCGTTCAACCACACATGACAGGATCATTGCTTGCTCACCTTTGGTTTTCAACTAGTAAACTATCACGTATTTCAATAACTTCTGTCGAATATTCTTATTTTAAATTTAAGTATTCGTTATCTTTAAAGGTCCGTTATCATGGTCATGTTTTATCGAAATATCTTCAGTCCGCATAGTAGTTGCTTTGTATAAAAAGATTCAACCAGTGAATGTATCTTTTGTCTGCGCAACCCCACACACTCTCCCTCTTAAATCCCTCTTCCAAAAACAAGTACACTCGATTGTCCCTCCAACACACTTTCACAGATGACTGCATTTTATTCCCAATTTGCACTTCAACAACAACAGCAACCCACACTTGAAATCCCTGCTCTCCAAAAGCTCGTATCAGTGAACATCACTCCCCGAAAAAAATAAGACCTAAAACACATGCCCCCTATACGGTACCCCAACCCACCTTCCACCCTCTACCCAAATATGGACTCACCGCTATAATTTATTTACACTTTGAAAAAAAACCCAGCAACGTACAGTGAATACAGTCACTGTAGTTTTTACGAACCCGAATATTAGTATCTGGCGTATAATTGCCTGTATATTTATTTTCTTCATAGCCTACTAACATTTCATTCACTTCTTGACACAAAGAACAATATTATTATGCAAGTGACGACTGTGTAACGGGGAGTGTGTAACAGAGCGCATGTGCGTAAAATATAAACTGAAAGGCGTCACAGTGCGAAGAAACTTGACTATATGTACATTAAAAAAGGCCTGACGATACTTATATATGTTTGTACATCTACGTGTAATGAAACATCACAAAAAAAGGCAAGTGATATAAAAGAAACAGATCGCCATTCTCACTCTGTCAGTAAATGGTAGGCCTACATATAGCAGATGATAACGATGCATACTAATTGTATTTCTACTTATTATTTACCACCTAATTATACAGGGTGTTTCAATAAAAAGGAAACCCAACTTTGAAGAACCAGTATGGACAGACTAAATGTTTACTGGCTATAAAACTGGTATCATCTGAAAGTGTAATCTCAAAGCTTTTCCAATGATACCTTGCTTACATTTTCAGGGTCATGCGTCACTGAGCGCCACTGTCATGAGATTTTGATGCAAAGTTGCAGTTGGTTCACTTTCATGTCAAACACAAAAGCCATGGTGTGCATGAGAATAAGTATTCAAGAAGAAGACACGAGTGCATAAGAAGAAACCAAAAAACAAGTCGGGTTGGTTTCATAACTGCATTTTATTGTTTGTCATGAATTCTCGTTTTGACCAAGCCACGTTCAAAACAATGTGCCATTTTCCCGAGGATTGACATTCAAGCCATTTCATAGACATTTCCGTAACAATAGGCACACTAGTGCCCGGTGGGTTTTTTGTTATGAAAGTGAACCAACTGCATTTTTGAATCCAGTTTTCATGACAATGATGCTCGGTGATGCATGACTCAGGAAACCTAAAGACGGTATCATTGAAAAGCATAGAGATTACGCTTTCAGATGATACCAGTTTTATAGCCAGTAAACATATCGTCTGTCCATACTCATTCTTTGAAGTTGGGTTTCCTTTTTTTTGAAACACCCTGTATGAAGCCTAATGAATGTTCATAAAATACAGTGCTAGTCAAGAGGAAAAATCGCCCATACCCACTGCCCTATGGCGCTGCAGTGGTGACCGCCGACTCTTTCACAAAAGCAAACGTCGAAATGCATTGTGGGTAACTCACCACTGTGATCAATGGACGCGCAGGTACATTCGATGCGCACAATGTGCGCATGCGGAATTGTTGACCTCGGTCCATCAGTTAATTAAACAATTGAATGTAGTTAAGATAAGTTGTTTGCGGCAGCATCATGTGGTAAATCTCTTTTGTGGGTACATGTGGTTCTGAAAAGAACCGAAGGGGACTCAATGTTTCGGACGTTATGCTCTGCCTGTCGTCAGGAGATACGTACAAGTACAGGTCCTGACGACGGGCAGAGCATAGTGTCCGAGTTCCTTCCGGTTCTTTTCAGAACCACACATACTCACAACAGAGATTTACCATATGGTGCTACCGACCGTAAACCACTTATCTTATTACCTTTTGACCATGCAAACCTTCGATCTCATAAGTCTAGAATGTATTTAGTAGGAGCCAAAAAATGAAAATTATAGAGTGATGTGTTTAGAGCGATTTTCTAGTATAACTACCTGTACGTCATTGTCTTCATAGTTAGTTATCCGTCCTGCACTGAAAGTGGGGTAAGCTTGACACGTACACAATATACAAAATGGAAAATAACAACCATACCAACTTTTTATGCATATTACAGAAAAACCAAAGACCGAAATGTCCGCAGTGAGAGGAAAGTGCAAGCCAGGGGTCTATGGAGGGCTTGCACAGTGCGCCCTCACATGAGAACATGTCGGCCTCTATACCATGAACTTTCTTTATCACCAATTTATAAATACCAGAGACAGTTTAATTCCTATCGGTCGAGAGCAAGTTACGAGGGTGGTTTTAAATCGCTGTTTGAACACCGCTGAGAAGTGTTTAAAACCAGCGAATAATAAAGGTGGCCCCTCAATCAAGACACACATAATTCTGCTTTTAAAAATGTATTCTTCACAAAGGTAAGTAGGTTTTGAAGTTCGAAAATACTATACACAATTTGATAAAGCAAATAATTTTACATCGGTTTTACTTTTGAGGAACAGACCATGGCTTAGTAAAAGACCAAGCCCCTACCCGGTATGAAACTAAATGCTCACATCTGCTCCACTACACTATTATTCACTTATTTACATAACATAATGTTTGTTCGAGATTCGCACGCATGTCCTTAATTGTTACTATAGGCCTACAAAGAAAATCCCATGTGTGATGGCCGCACCTTCATCTCGGCTTTCGGAAAGGAGTAGGACTGCAACTTCCAGGTGCCCCAAATAATGCCCCTTCCCTGGGCGTCACTTGCCAAGTAGCCCGGGGAGGCCACGAAAGGACCGTTCAGATTAGAGTGCTCGCAGCTGTGATACCACCAGGCACCCATTGTGTGCTGGGCACAATGTCTGCCAAGGTCGATGTCGTTGTCTTGATCTTGGGTGGACCACATGTACCCGTTGTGTGGGCCCAGAGAGTCACCTATAAAAAAAGAGGCACAATATTTTGGGTTTTTTGGAAGAAAACTCTTCTAACAGGGACTGGGAACCAGACTAATTTGCTGGTCACAGTTTCCCGACTATGCGCTGTATTTGTACACGAGCCGCAAAGCGAGCAGTCAGCGCGCGGCGCTCGAGCCCTAAATATCGTACGGACGAATAATGACGAACGCCTTCACCAAGGCTATATTAAGGTAGGGTGCAGGATGATTACCAATTTTCAGACTCGTATGACTCGTGACTATAATGCTTTGTATCCGCAAGTGCCTATTATATGTGAGCTGATTCGGACGATATGCAAAAAAAACTGCGTCTTGACCTCGACATTCTGACCTTTCACAATCATGTGGTTGCGAAGGGCGATTTCTTAAGGTTATATAACACTTTATTTTGAATGAAACTTCATGTACACAGACATGTTTATGTTGGCGGGTGAAATTTTTTAAATTAATTTCTCCAGGAGTTATTTCCTTTATAATGACCCAAGTATGTGCTAAAAATCGTTGTGATATGTTCATTACTCTTCGTTGAAATTGGAAAAATAGGCCTGGCTAAGTGCATTTTTGAAAGCTGTAACGCTGACGTTTGCAATAGCCGTCAATCTTTTCAAACCTCACGAATATTAATAAGGTATCTATCCATTATGGTGTGCAGTGAAAATTTGGAGAAAACCCCCCTTCACGAGTTGTATTGATAAATATCACCCTTTTTGCCGGCTTCCATCGGTCGATACCGAGACCCACGTCAAAACACGCCGAGTGACGCTCATGAATATAATCTACCATCGGTCAACCGTAGCGCCTACAGCAGAAAATCGTCGTCCAAATTTTCTATGGAGACAGTTCTAGTTGTAACAGATTTAGCAGAAATTCGGAATATACTTAGAAGATATAAGTGTTCAACTGAACGTGAAATAACAAATTGAAGAAATTCCTACAAATCGATATAAATACATAGATGTGGGGACGTTTTCGAACGATTTCTTCCAGACTTGAAGGTCAGCTATACCAGTAACCAGTACTGACGTTTCGGCATCGATGACGGAGATTTTTTCACTGACATGAAGTTTAGAATTTCTTTTTTCTCTTATATTTTTAACATTTCAATCATACTGAGCATATTTTCTGATAAATACAACGTTCAAAAGGCCATGTTTTTGTGGTGCATGCATTTCACTGCTCTGCTATAGCGTCTAAGTACGTAATCGGATTAGCTTTCCCTAATAACAGCGGACGCTTTGCCTTAGCAACCGCATGCCTGTTCAGCGGGCGCTTTCTATATAAGGTCTTGTCTTGGATATCCATAAATAAAACCCATAGACAAGACATCATTACTCTTTTTTACACTGTGAATTCCGAGCAAGGCAACGATATGTTACGCGATGAGCCGGCCAATTACGGTCGTGTCTAAAGGTTTTGTAAATCTATGCGCGACCAGCCGTCGTATTTAAAAAATAAAAACAACTCTGCATCGCAATCGTTAATCACAATCTTGGTCCAGATTTGGGAATGAAATGACGTCACGATTTAGTAAAGTCGACCCCGATTAGCTGATTTGTGCTGGGTTGCATAAATTTGCATTCTCAGACGTTGGACCGGAGACAGGGCTACTTTGACAACGGGTACTCATTCAGACTACTCGTACGTTACTCAGACTCGAACTCGACCCTACGGACTCGGGACTCGATCAAAATTACCACAAATCCATTTTTGTCCAAATAATTACAAATAACATTCTGAAGACGATCCTGATCCTCTCCTAAGCAAGGGATACAATGTGTACAGTGCAGATCTCAGAAGAGCTGCATCAAAGTACTGTAGATGTAACACTGCGCATGCGGCTGGCCTGCTTCCGATGGAGAAATCCATGTGTCGAAACATAATCAGCGTCCGTCTTGATCGATATTGCGTAAATGGAAGATTTATAGTATTCGGTACCAGTTTATCCTGTCCAGACACTGATGCATTGCCTTATTTGACATGTTATACATGTATTTCCAGTTTATAAATCAGAGAAAAACTGTAAAAAAAAAAAAAAGACCTTCGACCTTCCTGGCCATGAGCGTCGTGAGGGGGAGAAGGCAATGGGGCCCTTCCCCCCCCCCCCCCCGGATAAAAAAGAAAGAAAAAGCGGTGTGAAGTAATATTGTTGTTCATTTATTGGTTGGGGTGGGAAAATGTTCTCCTGCCCACCCTCGAAAAAGTGAAAAATGCATAGAGAATATGCTCGAGATGTACAGGGATTTTTTTAAGAGAAAATTTGCTCTGCACCCCTCTAGACAAAAATCCTGGCAACGCCCATGTGCATGACTCGGGACTCGGACTCGGGACTCGGTAAAAGTGACTCAGACTCAGAATCGGACTCGATGTTTGGTGAGTCGAATGCAAGTCTGCCAATTTCTAAATGGCAAAATAACAACTGATGACAATACTAGGCCTACTCACCGATTCCCGAACTTCCGGAGAATCCGCTCACTGAGAGACGGTACTTGTCAGCCTCGTTTGCTATCGAAAAATGCTCGTAGCTGCAAAATCAAGTTGAAAACATTTACATTTTCATTGAGTTCAGGCAAGCGTTCTTATTTCTACGGCATGCAATCGTGTTTTTTTCTCTACAATCTAGCTTTGGGTGGATTCCAGCGTCGTGCATAACAGAATAATACTCTCTTTACTCCTATAAGTCAAGACTCATTCAGGTTTGGTTACTTTGGCGACAGAACCATCCGCCTTATCCGAGCTCTACGATTCATAGAGACGTTTTCTTAGATAGAAGCCTCTTGTAATGACTACTATAGGTTTCCCGGCCAATTTTACAAAAATAGCATTCAAATTCATCTTGATAGTGGCCAATTTGAAGCGAAGTAGCGCCCTGCTGTCATTCCCTTGGTCCGTATTAGATTGCAGGCGTTCAAATTCGCTTTAAGACCGGACATTTCTAGTTTGTTTGGTTTAAGGTTATTTGCATGAGATTCTTGTTTTCGTTTTCATTTCCGCGCATTCCATTTAGCACTTTTTTCATTCAGAATAAAAGACGGTATACCATGCGAGTCTTTTCATTTCTTTCACCTTTTCATTATTTCTGCTTCATGTCGTATTACATGTGTGTGTTTCTGGCCCCTCCTCTTGGCAGGCTTTGCCGACTGCCAGATCTCAGATATGTTGCTACAATTGACCTGGCAGTAGATATCTGTTTATGTCAACATTGTCTGCAAGTTCAAGATAGTCTTGGGCATCAAACGGCCACGGTCTGAAACGTTGAAATTCTCATGTAACGCCCATGAGCTGGCATATTGATATTTCTAGTGCTTCAATCTAATAGTTTGCATGGTGATCTGAGTAGTGGCAAAGTCTTGTGGGAGACGGGTTTTTACGTCTATATTTCCAAATTGGAACAAAAGTACTCCATCTTATTCTAACAAACGACGGAACGCCATGGACCTATTTCGAACTACTTTTCACATATGCTTGCTTAATGGTGAATTCGAATGACCAAACTTACACAGCTGGAAGCTCCGGCGAACTTGGATGCTCGTTTATGCAATTTTAATTTGAATGCCCTATTGTTGAAATTGCATGATTAAAATGTGAAATCGCATGCTTCTAATCATCGAAATTGATTGGTGATTTTAGGTAATTGAATGTTGATCTCAGAGTCAGCGTGCATTCAAATTCGTGCGAAAATGGGTGATTGGTCGCCAATTTGGCCGCCAAATCTGTTAACTTGGCCGGGAAACCTATAAAAACCTTCATACGTCTCAAGAGTAATACAATTTGTACTTCGGTTTCAATATTTTAAGCGTTAAAACCCAAACCACGTAAATACAAGTTTCAGCGTGTTTACTTGGCATATCTTATCACGAAGTCCCAGCTCTCCATCTTCACTGTCAGTTGATACGAAGACTGATTGGTCAAGAGATGCAGATCGTCGTTGCCAAACCAAAACTCGTCGGCTGGGTCGCCAAACCCTGCCTTGTAGTCCGCCCAGTAAAGATAGAAGTCTCTACTGCCATCAACTCTACGTTGAATAACCTACGAGTGGTATAAACCTCAAGTTAGGGTGTGGTTTCTAAGTTTCAGTCAAGTTCTGGTATTCTTAGGTCTCAAGGTCTATTTTTTCCAATTTAGTTCCGATTCTGAGGTCTAGGTTTAGCACTTGGTCTGGTTCTCCTCGTTTTGACTCTGGATTTGGGTCAAGGTTTGTCACTTTGTCTAGCTCTGATTGTGGTACTACTAGTTCTTAGTTTAGGTCTATATGGTTCTGATTCTGGTCCTGGCTCTCTTGCTCCTTAGTTTTGTTCTTTGAGCTTGAACGGGTTCTGCATTTAGTTCTATTTCTTGACTCGGGTTGCTGTCTATATAGCACTACGTCTGGCTCTGATTCTAATTCAGGTTCTTGGTTTTGTTCTAGGTCTGCCACTCTTTGTCTGGTTTTGATTGCAATTGATCTTGTTTTGGTATAGGTCTAGCACTGGTGTGGTTCTGATTTTAGTTCTGTCTTTCTTAGTTTCTGGCTCTTTAGTTCTGGCATCCTTAGATTTGTTTCAGGTCTGGAGGTTAGTCTTGGTCTGATTCTGGTTGCATTTCTCGGCTTGGGTCTAGGTCTAGGCTTTAAGGTTTGATACTGAGTTTCAGTCTAGGTTTCAGTCTAGATTGAGGTTTAAGTATGCCGGTTCTGAATTCGGTTCTTTTCCATGTCTCCTCGCCCAGAGCTGTGTCAAGCGAAGACTTACCGTCCAGCCTCCGCCGACATCATCCATATCACAGTACACCTGTATGGCCTGGGGCTTTCCCGTCACGTAGATGTTGTATAATCCGCTGGCAGTCTGTCCTTGTAACTTGTGGTCCCAGCAATCTTTAGGTACCGATTGAGCTGGAAACGTCGTTTAAAGGATGAAAGGGGTGGAATAACTATACGCTTTCGGATATCGTCACCGACACCACAAAGTAACACTCTACCGTGTTAAAGCATATTTTTTTCGATTTTCAGTTTTTTGGATTTTTAAACATTATTCATCAAGGCCTACCATTGCACGAAGTTTCAAAGCTTCAAGAGCTTTACTTTAATAATTACGCTAAGTATCCATGGCAACTTTTTCGCAAAAGTGACAATTTTCGTTTTCACGAAGTAACACTCAAGTTCCATTTTCCATTGCAATGCATGGCGCGCACTTTGCTCATAAGTGAGCAAAAACGTTTTCACGAAGTAACACTCTTCTTCTAACAAGTTGTATGAGCGCGCGCGCGCTGACCTGAAGTTGCACTTTCCTCGTGTTAAATACATTGAAGAGTGTTACTTCGTGAAAACGAAAATTTTACAGTTTCGCAGCTTTTTCGGTTTCACGAACTAACACTCACCTTTTTTCTCTTATTTCTTGTTTATTTAATACACAAACGAGTGAAAAACAGCAGATTTAATAAATTCAATTCATCAAGTGTCCACAACGAGAAACCCAACTGAAAATACTCTGTCGTTTTGACGCAAAGTGTTGTTTTAGAAGGCGTTCAACTTTAGTTGCCGTTTTCTCCGTTGCTAGTTTTTACTGGTATGTAGATGGGTGTTACTTCGTGGTGTCGGTGACGATATATTACAGAGTGAACATCACGCAGGGAAGTATCTCATGCAGTCAAATGAAATTTGGCAAAGACACATGTTTTGGATAAGGTGATTAAATTTCAAAATTGAACAAAATATCAAAACATAATTCGTGCAATACGTAATTATAATGTGTCTCCTTCCTTTTGAACTACATTGTGTCTGTCTAAATATGCACATCAATTTTTTAAGCACAAGTCTTTCGGCCGTGCATCACCGCGAAGCACAAGTTTATAGGCTCCCAAAGCCCACCTTTACGCGTGACAAAGTACCTTCATATTCCTTTGCAGACAATTTCATTTGTACGAAATTTACTAGGAACTAAATAAAATGTACTGTATAGGTAAAATAAATCATTGATAAGGAGTTAGCCTTTTTGAGACATGACAGAAAAAATCGTGAGCGAGGATTCGTTTGGGTAAACTCGAGTCCTTGTAGGCTACTGTGCATGTATTTACCCAAGCCGAATAGCGCCATCCTATTTTGTTTACAGTATCTCAACGGCTAATGAGATTGAGTTTACTCTCCCTGTTACCTATACTTCTTTGTGACCAGAGGCAAATAGCTTGCACTGACACACAATATGATGACCAAAACCTGGATTTGAACGCAAGACCCAATAATCACAAGTCACAAATCCTGACTACCATGGACAATATACCCCTCTTTATCCAGAAAAGGCGGGTATACGTACACGTAAAAACCAATGTTCTACAAATTAAACACACTCTTTTTACCTGACACGGGGCGTAACTTCATCTCGGCAAACTTCAGTGATTGGGAGACGGTCAGCCATGAGCCCCATATGACGCCCTGTGCGTTCTGGGGGACGTTGGGGCCGTTTACAAATGGCCCGTTTAGGTTGCTGGACAGGCAGGCAGTATACCACCAGCCGCCGAGGAACGACTGAGCGCAGTGTCGTGGTACGTCCACATCGTTGTCTTGATCCAATGTAGAGAAGGCCATTCCGTTCTGATAATTCATCGAATCATCTGCAAAAGAAGATTGTGGGCATTATTAAGATCTATAGACCTTACTTAATTTTGAGCTCCCATTGGACGGACTTGCTTTTCGACAAGCTTGTCGATATTGTGAAGTACGTAGCCTATGGACCGTATTCACGAGAAAGCATTTTGTCGTGTTCCCTTAATGTATTTTGTCAAATGTGAACTGTCAAATAGGATGGTGCCAGACTATTTAAACATTCTAGCCTCACTTTCATTTGTTTTAAAATGTGGCTTAAAACTGGTATTAATTTGTGACATACTTTATGCCATTTTTCATTTCTCTTCGTATGTACCAAAAATACTTACTTTATTGTCAACTTCGCATCCGATAGGAATCCTGATTCAAATTAGCAGGTAAATGGATATATATCGTGTAGTTGGTCTTGTTATTTCCAACGTGTATTACGTGTTCTCACGTTAGTTGTAACTATAACGTCCACACCTCAATAATAAACCTTTCCTTTCCAATTTGCTCATATTACTATGAATTGAGATACTGCATATATTGTAAAATTTAACCTTTCAACTTTGAAAAAAATAGAGTTTTCGTAACTCACGTCGTGACGAATTTATTATGTTTATACTCCAGACACCACGTACAAAAACAAACGCCGATGTAAAGTACAGGCAGGCACCAGACTTATCCTCAATTTAATACGTATCCAAAAAAAAGATACGCAAATGATCCAATACCAGGGTGAGAGAGCAGGTAGTGATGGCAGCGTAATGATCGACACCCTGGAAATGAGGTCGACTATAACTGCTCTTTGACATGCCGTTCGCGTAATTTGAAGGCTGCTTGCTCGCTAATTGGCACATAAAGACTGGAAGCCAATTTGGTTCGCCTAGCATCACGCGTGCTTTGTACTGTGTAGCGTTATATACTTTGAAAGGCCGCTCCAAGCAAATACCGAAGCCGAAGCAAATGTGACGTCATGAAACGTTGCCGGAGTTAAAAGGTGTTCAGTTTTTGCGAACTTGCAGCAAGACTACTTGCCGTGATGTCGCGATAAGTATGAACCGGACTTATATTAACCGGATTGTTTGCTGTTGAGTCCCGTGTGCTGTTGGGTTAACTATACGCGTGGCCGCATCCTGACATCCTACTCATGTCAGCACATTACTGACAGACTCCCGTGCGGAGCAACTCCATCGGCTCCCCCGGCTCTGGTCCACAGACTCCGGTGCGGAGCAACTCTGTCGGCTCCACCGACTCCGCTCCTCAGACTCCCGTGTGGAACAACTGCACCGGCTCCACTCCATTGACACGTGTGCGGAGCAACAGCTGTAGACTCCCGTGAAGAGCAACGTTACTCAACCGGCCACCGGCTCCGCCCCATTGCCTTCCGTGCGGAGCCACTCCACCGGTTCCGCTCCATTGACTCTCGTGCGGAGTAACTGCACCGGCTCCGCTCCATTGACTCGTGCAGTGCGGAGCCGATCCACAGTCGGTATGAATGTGTGTGTTACGGGGCTGTTTTCCATCGTGGGCCCTGTTACTTGTGTTGGTGCAGAAGACACAGGGTGTCTCCGGACGAAGCCCCACGCATGTTGCATCGACAACTCGGCAGTGTTCTAAATGGAACAGAGCGCCTGTTGTGCCGACGCGTGTACAGTGCGGGTCGATTCCCCATGAGACTCGGCACTAGGCGTACTGGCAAAATCATCCCGTGGCGTACCAAAACGAAGACCCACCACTGCCGCATCAACAGGCACAGCCCGACAACGCTCCGAGTGGAACGGAACGTCTGCCACGCCGCCGTGTTCAGCGCGGAGCGGTTCCCCGTGGGACCTAGCATGTAGGCTTAGCCGACTCCCCGAAACCCTGAAAAATTACAACTCCGAGTCATCCAACGTGACGAACGTTTTGCTGGCCATCTCACTGTATCTCATGGTGTATTCATGGCAAAAAACACCTTAAAGTTCTACCTGTTTTTTTCTCCTTCAGACATCCCACCGCTGCCACCAAGGCACAAATGCAGAATACCCCGCCACTCGATCTATCCACCTCGTAGCCGGCTACGAGGTCACGGTTGGTTGACCTCAATAAACATTCTCAGCGCTACTTGTATGTACTATGCGTCATGCTCCATTGCACTCCCACTCCGTATCCGCGTAGCCGCCAACAGGGTGGTTGGTTTGGACTTAGAATTTTTTTCAGCAACTCCCATTCCTTTTGTGTTGCTTCGTTCTCACATAATGGACCCCCACATTCCTCAGTATCCGCGTAGCTGGCATGGACTTGAATTGTTTCTTTTTCCAGTGATTCCAACCTCGTAGCCAGAGAATGTAGGGGTGTATTTCCGAGTGGCGGGGTATTCTGCAATTACTCCGCCACCGGCATAACGTCAACCGGATCCTGGGTTGTCACACACCAGACGAAGGAAACCCACAGATACTATTCTTCAGGGTTTCGGGGCTCTAAGCCGTTTATTCTTGCCACTTTCTTACACGAGGCTCTTTCCATTTTTACAACTCACAACAAAAAGACTTGTTCAAAAATGTCACACTACTGATTCGGCGCAGTCCAGCAACGGGTCTCCCTGGCCAAGCAGCAGGGGTCCAAACGCTACGGTTGTACCGTGGGTCCGTGCTGGCGCCCTCTGCCGGCGACCCGGCACCGACGTTACAGTTTCTCTTCATTTTGCCACGGATAAAGCTAACCCTAAAATGCCTCTAAGCCTGTTTTCTAGAGAGGGGAAAACACTGTGTGGACGTGAGAAAGTTCACACAACGTCGACGTCGCTGCTACTAGGGTTTATGTGGACCTCTTTTAAGGACAAACAGTGAATGTAATGCTTGTACACGTTTGTCAATGGTGTAAATCGAGGTTTTCTTTTGTTCCTCTTCCTTTTCCTTTGTTTATACTTTATCCTTTTTCGCAACAGCTCTCATTGGTTTTGTACACGTTTTTCAACCTAGGAGTCCTCGATTTGGCTCCTGTTCTCCATCCATCGATGATGTTGCACGTGTGTGTCCCCGATTAACATCATAAACAAACGTAGTTGTAAACATTTTCAGTCGTAGACCCCTATTGTCCCTTTTTTGTTTGTACTAACTTTTTTAGGAAGACCTCCCATAAGTTTTGTACACGATCGTTAATCGTGGACCTTCGGTCAATCGTGGACCATATTGCACTCTATTGCCCAACGTACACACAATGTTGTCTAAAAGACCGTAGGGGTCACCGAAGCATGGTGAGTAGGAGTATATAATTATTATACTGAATCTTTTGCCCACACAGAAGGGCCGATGTATGGCGCTTATTACACATTGTATGAACTTATGACTAGCTGAATGCGTACAAATTCGTATACGTCTTGCAACGAGACTCAGCGTGGATGCTGCGCTATGCTCCTTTCAGCGTCCAATAAGTGATGCCCTGCATTTCGACTGCTGATGAGGACGTTCAAAGGCAGTCTTGGTGAGTTGAGTGAATCAAGGGCGGATCCAAGGGGGGGGGCCAAAAGGGGCCATGGCCCCCCCCCAAAAAAAAAAAACGAGACCAATTTTTTTTTTTTAATGTGACATCGCAATAAAGGCAGGCAATGAGTACACCACCATCTTTTCCTCAAAAAAAACATTGGTTAAAGTGGTCAGGAATTGCCTCAGATCGCACCACAGAGCATCTAGAATCCAAAAAATGTTCGGGGCCCTTAAGCGGGCCCCGAACCCCACGCCGTAATTTTTTTGACCCACTTTTTGGGGGGTCCCAAAAAAATTTTGGCCCCCCCCAAAAAAAAATTGTGTTCTGGATCCGACCTTGGAGTGAATGATAGAGTCAATTAAGGGCCGGTACGTCTCAATAATTTATATACGGGACGAGTTTCGGACAAGTTGCAGACTTGTATCGTGTACAAGTTGCGGACATTGTATCGGGTATAAGTTGCAGGATTCTCAACAAATTCCCCTCAATCTTCCTGCAATTAAGTATTGCGTCGTAGAGCTGACAAACTGGCGAATCGACCACTTTGGCGATTTTGAGATTTTGTTATTTTTGTGGTTTTAAAGGCTGATCTTTCAAGTATTTATTCCAAAATTCTTAATTCTTGTCTGGATTTTGAGATTCGGAGTCCCTCCTGTGACGAATTAGTCATAACAAACAATAGGCCTTCAGAATTTTAAATAGTGTCGAATACGAAATTTTAATGGTAACCATCTAATGTAAGGTGTGCTTCAAAGTACCAACGCATATACTACTGTGGTTATCAAAACGTCACGTGACTTTTTAAGACTCAATTCATTTTCTACTTATCTATTATGATCAAAATAATATTGCACGCTACATGTAGAATGCATACAATTTCACTAAAAGTTAAACGAACTACATGTAGTTTTGCGATATGTGTTTATTTGATCGTAAAAGTATTCGTCAGTTTGTTTCAACAAAATCTCCAATAGCCAGTCGTTCTGTTTGTTCACAAGTTCACAACTCACTTTCGCGCGCGCACTGTATACATCGCGCACGCGAAAAGTTGTAATCAGACAAACTGACGCATACAAACACTGTGAACAACAATCAGCTATGGGAGATTTTGTAATCTGACAAACTGACGAATACGTTTACGATCAAATAAAAACATATCGTATAACTTATCTGATGAAATAAGTTTATCTGAAGGATACTACGTTTCCTATTTCAATTCGAATATACACCAAAAAGGGTTATTATCGAAACATTAAGGGTTTTCGCTTTAATATTCGTCGGTATGTCAGCTTTGCGAATTTGGTGAGTCAAGCAGGTTGCTAATGAAACATTCCTTGGAACATGCCCGGGACAAATACAGAGCTTCTTCCGGACAAAGTGAATGATTCTGCCTGCACTTTCTCCGGAAATCGTCCCGGATGTGGATTGAGGTGGGCCCTAAGAGCTCATGGCAAATCCCTTCACAATTCAAGGCACACAAGCAATGAATGCACAAACCTGCTACATAGGAGCCGTAGAACAGGCCAACGGTCAACCGGTATTTGTTAGCTTCGTCAGCCACGGTGAACAAACCGTACTTGGTGTAGGTAGTCTGCGAATAGTAAGACTGCAGCTCGATCCGCAGCTGATAGTCCTGCTGGGTCGTGAGCTCATGGAGGGCGTCGTTGCCCAGCCAAAAGTTGACGGAGAGGTCACCAAAGCCAGCTTTGTAGCTGGCCCAGTTCTGGTTAAAATCTTGAGTGTCATCAATGCGCCTTTGAAATACCTGATGGGAATTCGAAAAGATGGCAAAAAGCTGTCTTAGCAATTATTGTATATACATTTATTTATGAAACTTTTAATAATTTAAACTGAAAACCCCTTCCTTTTAATTCCAGCTTCGCCCCGAAAAAGGACAAGACCCAGGATGATTTTTAGCCTGTTTTTGAAGGATCTTACACAACCAACATCAAACTGCCAGCACTTGAACACCTTTTGGTGAAAATTGCAGGTGCCATGGAGCTAAAATGTTTTATCTCACGTCTACGTTTATTCAAACTATGAAAAACGGAAAACGAATGTTACAAACAAAACCCTCAACACCCAACATCTCATTGATGGGTTTTGTTAAACCAGTGACCCAGGGCATTTGCGTATCAAGAGGGTGGGCAGGTGGCACAAATTGCCCCCCCCCCCCCACTCCATGCAGATTTTTGTGAAAGATATTTGTTCAGAAACTATTTTCATCAACGGTTACAGAGCTTTGACATAAAACAAATTTACAAGCCAAGCTCCAAAACCCTTACAATGCGACGTGAAAAGCGCTGTATATTATCCGGTATGCACATTAGTGGTCAGTTTTGAAGTGCGCCCCCATTTGGAAGATAGGTCCCCCGGCTGCGTAATTTTTATTCCTAGGAGGGTTAGGGGCAATGTCATGAATAATTCATGTATCCATGAGAACGGACAATGACATCAACAGCATTGTTGTTAGTTACTCAACTAGTTACAATACATTAAAGCATTTTAAAGAACGGTTGTCGTCGAGCTACCACACAGTAGCCTAGTGGATGGCGAGATGAGCTATGGATACAAAGATCCCTGGTTCGAATCCACCTCGTCGCTGCTCATTTTCATCAGCTATTTTTCTTCTCCAAATTTATCACTGAGATAATTTTAAATTAAGGGAAAAATAGAACGAGAACCTAAGTCTTGCAATGATTCAAAGGAAAAACTGAATTATTCATGACATTGCCCCTAACCCTCCTAGGGAAAAAATTACGCCCCCCGGCTTTTTGTTTTTACGGAGGTCAAGAGTCCGGAAAAAAAAAACATGTCTACATTTCGTTGCCCCCCCCCCCCCCGACAACAAAAGCTGGATACGCCACTGACCCCGGGTCACCACTTCCGCCTGCGCATGTCATGCGCACGAAACGTACAATGATTATAGTGGTAAGGTACCAACAATGCTGGACATCTTCGCTTTCTTCCCCAATTTAGCTGAGATTAGCGGTCACCGCTGCCCTCAAGTGGACGGGCGGTAATGTGAGAAAGCTCTACTCACTGTCCATCCTCCGCCATCCGTGTCCATGTCACAATAGACTTGCAAAGGTCCGTTGTGCGTGGCAGGATACACGGCGTACTCGCCACTGGGAAGTAAGGGTGAACTGGCGTGTATGTCCCAACAGTCCACGGGAGGTTTTTCTGAAGCAAAATGAAAGTCACACTATCTCCAATATGTGATTCATAAACAACTTCTTGTAACAGTTTCATCTGGTCTGAACAACTGTTTTTATCAGTCCCCTTTAAAGGGAATGTACATTATTGGCTTTCGCTGTAATTTTCAGAAATTAACTATTTGGGGGGTTAGTAAAAATAGATCAGATATTGTTACACTGACATGTTAAAAGTCTTGTGTTCGAAAAGGCTGGAAAACCAAGAAAAACAAAAATGTTGAAGTAGTCTGGTTCCCTGACTCCACAAAAAATGCCGGAAAATTGTAAGGTAAGGGAACCAGTCTAGCTGGCCTGCACCCGTTCATGAACATGGAATCAATAGCAAACAAAATTTGGACTGAAAAAAACCCGGTAAATTTGGATCAGCAAAGTTGAAAAAAAGTTAGGTTTTTCCAACGGTGATCGGCCGACCACCGTTGAAAATGTATACAAATGTACCATTTTTCTTGAAAATGACTTCACACCAGGTGCCCTAATTTTACAGGATGCTTTAGACTGTCATTACCAACATCCTAGTAAGTTTTTTCGTAACAACTTGGTAGTTTTATTTTTCGATGTTTGCAAATGTTGTAATTTCCCTTTAACGACGTACTTTTATTTTCCAGTTTGCAAGGTTGAACTAAAACAAGCTTATTATCTCAACAATGATGACTCTATGATGACATAATGGAAAAGGAAAGATTCTATTCTTTATTATCGGAATGATGTCCTTGGAAGAATCGGCAGATAAACACTCGACGTTTCGAACAGTGTGCTCTGATCGTCTGGAGAAGACCAATCAGAACCATCTTCTTCTCAAAATAGGTACCTTTCCCATTTAATTATGTCACCAAAAACCCTCCACTCTTTAAAGGGAAAATACAACATTTGCAAACATCAAAAAATAAAACTACCAAATCATTTTGAAATACCTTGCTGGACTGTTAGTGAATGACGGTGTAAAGCATCCTGTAAAATCCTGGCACCTGGTATACTGTCATTTTCAAGAAAAGTGGTATTTTTGTATCAATTTCCAACGCTGATCGGCTTTTTTTTTCAAATACTGGCCCCAATTGACCATCGCACTTGTTTGCAATCGATTACAAACCTATGAACGGGTACGAGCCAGCTAGACTGGTTCCCTGACCTTACAATTCCCCAATGTATGTAAACTGCTCTGTTTCTTCTTAATATATGGAGTCAGGGAACCAGACTACAGGAAAATGATTGTTTTTCTTGGGTTTTTATAGCATTTTCGAACCCAAAACCTCAAAAAAGTGTAACTATATTTGCTATATATTTCCAACCCCCCAATTCCATCCATTTCTGAAAATTACAGTAAAAGCAAATGATGTATATTCCCTTTAAGGTACCAAATCCTACGAACATCACAACAACATCGCTAATCATTATTTTCCAAGAAATGCATTTATTAATGCACTATAGGGTCTAATATGGTTTCTCATTCCGGGTCACTGGCGGATATGATTATATCACATATTTATTTCGATTTTAACGATTCGTTCACTCTCAAAAGTTGTTTTGAACAAATGATTTCTTCATTAAAACACATCAGTTCATAATTAATGATGCTCTTTGCGTAGAATATAAAGTATTTTATAGTGTTTCCAGTATTGATTTATTGGAGTGCGGTATCATGTTTTAATTAATTGTCTGCACGTCAACGGAGCCATGGTTCATGCGCTTGGCAGCGGTCTTCTCGGGAAAAATCGTTATATCGTGTCTTCGAATAAAGCGACTTATGTGGATTAAGAATCGACTAATTTGTTTGGTGGGACAACATTATTGGCTCGCGACCTTGCAGTTAAGGCCTGTTACGAAAGGCTGGTATGCTGTTTAAAATAATTTTTTTTTAAAAGGAGACACTATTATACAACACATTTTGTTGACTCTGAAAGCGGTTTAGACCCATTACGAAAGGTTGCCTTTACAAATAAAACATAAATTTTATACAACACATTTTATTGACTGTGATAGGCCTCACCATTACCACAACAAGCACAGAGATGATTATCAGTAATCATCATCCTTACTATCGCCATCATCGTCAACATCACTATTACCATCATCATCATCGCTTCAAAAATCATTTTAAATCTTTGATATGGTGCACCATGAAACTGCTGGTTGGTAAAATAAAAGGTAAAGACCATTATCATGTTGCGGCCATCGTGGTTTTTACCCATTCAAATCAACGTAATCAAAGTGAGGCTGGAAGGAAAAATTGCTGGTTCCTTTTTGCAAACAAAAAACATTATCATTCAGTACAGGGAACATGACTGAAATGGTGGCAGCATGATAAAGGTCTATAGTGTCAATTCTCACGTATATATCAATGATTACCTGTTGTGAAGACTTCGGTGGTTGGCACTGAAGTCGTAGCTTGTGTGGTGGCAGGTTGAGTGGTTGTTGGCTGGATGGTCGTCGGTTGATTGGTTGTCGGTTGATTGGTTGTTGGTTGATTGGTTGTTGGCTGATTGGTTGTCGGTTGGTTGGTCGTTAGTTGATTGGTTGTTGGCTGATTGGTTGTCGGTTGGTTGGTCGTTGGTTGATTGGTTGTTGGCTGATTGGTTGTTTGCTGTTTGGTTGTTGGCTGATTGGTTGTTGGTTGATTGGTTGTTGGCCGATTGGTTGTCGGTTGGTTGGTCGTTGGTTGATTGGTTGTTGGTTGATTGGTTGTTGGCTGATTGGTTGTTGGCTGCTTGGTTGTTGGCTGATTGGTTGTTGGCTGCTTGGTTGTTGGCTGATTGGTTGTCGGTTGGTTGGTCGTTGGTTGATTGGTTGTTGGCTGATTGGTTGTTGGCTGATTGGTTGTTGGCCGATTGGTTGTTGGCTGATTGGTTGTCGGTTGGTTGGTTGTCGGTTGGTTGGTCGTTGGTTGATTGGTTGTTGGCCGATTGGTTGTTGGCTGATTGGTTGTTGGCCGATTGGTTGTTGGCTGATTGGTTGTCGGTTGATTGGTTGTTAGTTGTTTGGTCGTTAACAGGGGTGTTGTTCCCATGGTCGTCCGACTTTCAGAGACTATCTGTAAAATATGTTAAGAAAGAGTATTTCAGAGGAATCACCGATTATGTGGGAGGCTTCTCACGGGTCTGGTTGCCCATAACAATTCAGGAATTATTAGCTAGTGTAGGTTAAAGGTGTTGTGTACCATTTGCAAACATTTAACACGAAACTGTTAATATAGGTCTTCCCAGCCAATTTCGCAAAGTTAGTATTCAAATTCATGTTGATAATGGCTAATTTGATGCGAATAAGCTCCCTGCTGTCATTCCCGTGGTTCGTATAGGTTTGCAGACATTCAATTTCATTTCAGACCTGACGTTGTCATGTTAAGGGGATGTTGAAAACATCTTAAATTGTGTGATTTTTTCCAACTTTCACTCGGGAGGTAACACACTGAGTATACAGTGTTTAAAACGTCGGTGAAGGGCAAAACCTAATTTGATCTTAAATTGAAATTATGTCATTCGACATCATTAAATTTAGCAGTCTGTTTGGCTCAGAGTTATTTGCATAAGAATCGTGTTTTCGATTTAATCTCTACGCATTTCTATTTAGTACTTCCTGCATTCAAAATGGTAAACGAAAAAATGTGTTTAGCAATTAAACACTTTTCTAAACACTTCTTGCTATCAGTTTGTAAACATGTTTAAATACTGAATAGAAAATCAAACATGGTAGATGAAAGTCGACCTATAAACCATAAACTTAGGCAAAATTTTACCAAGTAGATCATTTGTCCTCTTTTTTACGGTGTTACCATACATGTACGTTATTACCTTTTGATCTTTTAGTTTTTAGTTGCGATCGGGCCATTTTTATGTCTCTAACTTTTTTCTCCATTATCTTAATCTTAAACATGCTTCATGTCAGTAACATATGCTTCTTTTATACAGTTTCAATTATTTAAATGAGCGTACTTTAAAATGCGATTGCCGTATTTTCCCGGTCGCGTGCTCGAAAAACGAAATTGAATGTTCTTTTGAGTAAATTGAACAATGATATTAAACTGTATTCAAATCTGCGCAGAAACTGATCGGGGTGACTTGTTCAATTTGAACGGGAAAAAAATATTTAACATTTGTTGACTGCTGTGATGTAGGATATGACGTTTTGAACACCCGACTTTCACGTAAATATTGTACGAAAATGTATAAGAAAAGGCATATATTTTCATTTGAGAAACGGCTAAGTAAAGTTGTAAATTTGCAAAGTAATTGTGCCATTTGGGTGGTTTCTCAATTTCCCGCTTCATTATTTTGTAGGAATGGAGTGATGGAGGCATTACACCATCCGAAAGAGTGGAAAGGTATCGCCTCCAACGCTCCATTCGTGCAAAATAATGGAGTGCTAGGACAATAGACTGACGTCACGGATGGAGTTTAAAATGTTACTAATATCCGCCTTCGCACTGGGTTACGGGGGGATTTCTACACTATTCTGTAATGTGCTGATATTTGTCGGATTTGAACAGCGCCCCAATTGAAAGTATGGCACAAGCCCCCCCCCCCCCCCCTTCCTAGAATTCAGTAAGGGACATTAAAACTTGGCATGTAGGATTTGGAATTAGAATTGAGAAATGGGAGTAGAGTGAAATTTGGCTTGAAACTAGTTTTGTGAGCTGGAATTGAGAATAGTGTCGAAAGCCAAAAATATTATAAACTTTGAGCCTTTGAGAATTAACAAGTTTTATAACAAGTATACTTTTTGACTCATATTTTCATTCTGCTTGTCTTTGTTGCCTAGGCGTTCTTAAAACTTATCATTTAAACGGACCTCCTTAATGGTGTGCCGCTATAAGTAAAGAAGAGTTACCATTTTACGGTCAAGTGCGGTTTGAACCAAACCATTGCTGGAATTGGGCGGAGATCCCGGGGGGATGGGGGGATATATTCCCCCCCCCCCCCCACCTTTTGACCAGGAGGGGGATGACCAATGTAATCATCCCCCCCCCCCCTCACTTTTTAAAGGCAGGCGTACTAATTTGGGCAGGGTCCGTAACTTGCCAATACCCCTTGACAGGCCAGCACCACGCAGCCCAGCAAGTGCAAGTGTCGTTCGCTTACCGTAATTTTCGGAATATAAGCCGCCCTGTGTATAAGCCGCAGCGCTCCAAAAACTTCAGAATAAGATTCAGGCCACAGCGTATAAGCCGCACCATCGTATAAGCCGCACCATTTTATGTACATGTATTCATTAGCAGAGGATTATAAACAGGACCGCCGCAACAACTCTCCCATGCATGCAGTGGCGTAGCCACCGGGGGGGGGGGCGTGGGGAGCGACCGCCCCCCCATGAAACCTTGTCGCCCCCCAGTCGCCCCCCCCCCCTGATATTTTGAGTTTCTAAAAAAATTATTATTTATCTAAATCTAAATAGTCGCGAATGATCCACATGATGACCACTGAGAAACGACCCTTCGACCGGCGACCGCGGACCAGGAAGCTTACAACCGGCGTGACATAGCGCATAATGATAATCTAAAATGCGTATTAACACCCACTGCACTGCTCGCTCACACCACGGAACACGTACTATAGACAGGTGGTCCGTGGGTCACACAGTTTCAGTCAGCGATATCACGCAAATCGGCCACGCACAAACTTTTTCTTCCATTCATATAAGCTAAATAATAATTCCTTGAAATCAGTGGCGTAGCCACGGTGGGGGGGGGGGGGGCGATAATTATTGGTTAAAGTGGTAAGAAATTGCTTCAGATCACACCACAGAACATCTAGAATCCAATTTTTTCGGGGCCCTTTAGCGGTCCCCGAACCCCCACGCCGTAAGGGCTTCGCGCTTCGCACTCGCATCAGTTCTGATCAAGGTATGCCCCCCCCCCCACTTTTGAGAAGCGATTGACGCCCCTACATAACGCCCCCCATGAAATGTTCCAGTCCCCCCAGCGCCCCCACTGAAAAATTCATGGCTACGCCACTGTCGTCAGGTATACAACATTGTCCACCATATGTTTTCATAGTTTTTGTAGAGTGTAGACCAAATCACATTCTAATCATACCTTACCAAAATGCATCTAGGCATTATTTTGCATTAATTATTTTGTAAATAATTATACTTAAAATAATGCATAGGCATTATTTGTGTTGTGACCAGAGCTCCATTGTGCAAATATAGCTTAGGCCTACACTTCCAAATACATTGGATGAGAAATTTTAGTTTTGAAGATCTTTTTGTATTTGTTAATGCTTGATCTTGAAGGTGTTAATTATTATCATTTATTGCAATTCAAGCTCAAGAAAAGGTTGAATTTTGACACCATTTTGCACCTAAAATTGTGTAAACCCCAGGGGCTCCGGGGGGGGGGGGGGGGGCGGGGGTACCTCAACCCCTAGCAAGGGCTTTGCGCCTGCAACCCACCAGGGGGCCCTTAAGCGGTTTCTTGGACCCCGTGCCGTGTCGCGTTCCACACAAGGATGGCCTTTCAAAAATCATCCCCCCCCCCACCTGTAACAAGAAATCTGCGCCACTGGCTGGAAACTGTTTTTTTTCTTCTTCTTCATATACTACCTTCGTTATAAGGGTTGCGTCCCACACAGCTATTGACTTCGTGCAGCTGCAGCCACAGTTACGTTAGATACAGGAGAGCGTGTTAGCTGGGTGGGGGAGGGCGTGCACGCCCCTACAAACAAATCATGCCCCCCTAGTCGTCCCCCCCCCCCCCCCACTGGAAATTAATAAGTCCTATAATAGATTATTCAGGTTCAACAGAAATTGGGCGCGCCCCAATGTAGCATCCACCCCCCCCCCCCCCCATCCCACTAGCCAACCTATGGTGAAAACCATTACCATCTCGTTAGGTCTTTGTAATTTCTAACAGTGATGCCTTATGGAAACAAAATTGGGTAAGTGTTCAGTGTAAGTCGATATTTTGCAGTGTATTTATCATTTCTTGGGTGTGAATTTGTCGGTGCTGCTGCCTCTTTACTTCCTTTGATTGTTTTTAAAAGATGTCTTACTAATATTGTTTACCTATGTTTAAATTCTCTTTGTTTGGTTATCTTTCGGTTTTTTTTATTTGTGTTAACATATTTTCTTATTTATTGGTTGTTTATAAGTGGTGTCGGCAATGTTCTTTGTTTTCAGAATTTTTATATTTTTAAATTTACCTTTAATATTTATCAACCATTTTACCTGTAACTTTATAACGTATTTTCTGTATTTTTGTATTTTCCTTATGTGCATTTTAATGGAGCTTTGTATTATATCAAGTAATTTATTATTTTCTAAGTGTATTTAAAAAAAATGTTTAAGGTGAGCAACGTAATGTAATTTGCGCTATAAAAATAATGAATTATTAATTATTATTATTTTTATTATTATGGAACCCTGACTACGCCGCTGAGTACAAATTGTATGATTTTTTCCGGAGTTTAGGCACTGTGACTCATTTGGTTATATGCACGACAGATTCGGCGAGCTTTATTTTGTCGAAATGAACAGCGTTTTTGCAAATGGTACACAATACAGGGTGAGTAGAAAAAAAAACGAGACTCAAATGGCAGGACCAATTTGTGAATGTTTTGATTGTAGCACTGCAAAAATCTAGGGTATGAAAGCGCAATTAATGGGCTTTCTTCTAGTACAAGAATCATTCAAAGCACTCGTGTACGTGTTAAGTTACGGTAAGTGTTCTTACAGCAAAACGAAAACATTTCACATGAATCCCCTGAAAGGAATTGTTTTCATTTTGCTGAAAGAGCACTTACAAATTCGGTAACTTGAAAAGTACATGAGTGATTTGAATGATTATTGTACTAAACGAAAGCTTAATGACCGGGTTTCATATGATCCTAGATTTTGAAAGTAAAAATCAAAAAAAAGGCAAAAAAAGTCATTCAAAAATTGGTCCTTCCATCTGGGTTTCGTTTTTGTTTACCTTTTAAAAAATAATTTCAGTTTTCCTGAGGCATACTTAAATTTAATCGGCACACTGCATGTATAAAAATTATAATACTGTAAATTGACGTATGCTGCTGAAGAATATTCTGAGTCAGAGATCCAAACCAACTTATTAAAGGTTGCACATTTTGCACATTTCTTCTTCGTTGGAATATTGCTTGTACTTACGGTTTGGCATATCTGCTCCTCGGCCACTGTTCCCGGTAAGTTACCGTAGTGCTTCCACCCATCTCGTACCTCCACGTCGGCTGGGTGCGCTTCCATGCTACTCCCGTTCAATTCGCAGGTGCCCCCGGCGCCCTCGTAGTTGATGGAGACGCACTGATCTTGCCGGAGGCAGGCAGCCATGCAGACGATCGAAGACCTGGTGGTGCAGCTCCTGAGCACATGGTTGTTCAACGCCACGTTACGCGAGACGCGATCCATGCCCACTGCGCGGGATAACGGCCCGTCGCATGACGGCGTGGCGGCATGTAGGGGCACGATAAGCCACGAAAGGACGGCCAGAGTCGGACCGATCCACATGGTGGTGCAACCTGATCAACCTCAACCAGGGTGGCAATATGGTAGGACTTTCCAAATTATGAAGTTGAGACGCCGTTTAAAAAAAGGTAACACCTATGAAATGCCACTAGGTATAGTCGCCTATTGCCTCTGTTAGTAAGATTTGTACTATTCTGAGTTGACTTAAACTATTTCGTTGTGCGAATCAACGCAGATCAGAAGGTTTTGGATAGGTATCACACCCGGATGGCACACCCGTAATGCTGAAAGCTCAGAGTGTTTGTGCTTCATTTGGTAAGTCAATACTCTAGCTTTGCACTCATGAAGACTTCGTCTTGGTTCGCACATGCGCATATCTTTGAAGGACCTAATTAATTTCATCACCGCGTCTCCACTTGGCTAAGCTTCACAACCATGCAAGATGATCGATGCTCATTTACTTCATCGACCAAATCGAGGTGTTTGTCTCAAATTCCATTATATCCCGTTATGATATATGCCATAAAAAGGCAAGACTGGAGACACCCCCCCCCCAAAAAAAAAATCATTTTGTGGCACAATCCTTGAGGGTTATTCTCCTGCATAAAATAATTAGCGTTGGACTAATAGCACACTGGTATTAAAGGTCCAATGTAATGTAATTTCTGTAATGCAATGCTTGCAAGTGCACCTTTGTGTTTCTTATATTGACACAATTCCTATATATAGAATGAAACATTATCTTGAATACAGCGCGCGTGAGGTATGCTCCGGTGTAGCGCGGCCAATATTGCCAAGACTAGATTTGATTGTTGTTGATAGATACCTCCAACTCCGGGGAAGTGTCTCCGCGGTTAGTCATAGCTTTGCTGATATCTTTTTTGGATTTTATGCCAAATGCATTTATAACTTCTTGATGTTTCTCGAGAGAGAGAGTTACTTACGCGCCCAGTTGCGGTTCTACGGGGGGGGGCCCTAGGGAGGGGGGGCTTTAGCCCCCCCCCCCCACCAAAAAAAAAATTGTCCAGTCCCCCCCCCCCCCCCAAAAAAAATCCATAAAAAAATATCACTAGCCAAATGTAAGAATGTGACGTACCTGCGAACGGCCTCCCCCTAATTAAATAGTCGTGAGAAGGGTGCATTTGTACACTTTTAGTTAATATCTAGTGTGCCTGATTGTAGGATTTTATCAGCGCTCCCAATTTAAACTATGGCACGAGCCCCCCCCCCCCCCCCCCCCCATTGATTTTCGGAGGCCTAAGTGTCCGGAGAAAATAACCGGTCTACATTTCAGCACGCCCTCCCTGAAATTTGTTTTGGATCCACTCTGCTAGTTCCCCCCCCCCCAAAAAAAAATGTTGGCTCTAGAACCGCGCCTGCTTACGCCTATGCAAGATATCAAATGGGTGAATCGTGGGTTTAATCCATTGATCTACAGTCAGGAACGTGTTAAAGATGGAAATTGAGATGACGTCGTGATGACGTCGTCATGTGTTTTTTATATATATATATTGATTTTTCAATTTCTTTCATCTTCACATTCGTTTTGTACTAGACATTTTTAGATCATTCTGCACAAAATTTCGAAAATGAAAATTTTTAAACACACAAGGGAGGGTTCGATTATCGTGAGAGTTAGTGTGCAAACTCCAAAGTGATATCATGATGGCGTCATAAACTGACTTTTTATTAATGTTCAAATTTTATACTTTTTTTTTACTGCCAGTATTTAACATGAAATGCAATTAGATTGCTGTAAGAAGGCAAGACAAAGATGCTAAGGTTAAGTTGTTCCTAAGTAAGTGACATAATGATGACGTCATCATGAGTCAGGTGACGCCATCTTAAGTGTACATAATTTAAATTCCTATGTCTAGTTTTTTTCTCGAATTTTTTAAAGCTTTTATTTTGAAAGCTGATATCTTATTTCTATATATACATGTACATGTACAACCACAAGACTTGCTATCACAAGTATGGTCATGAAAGCCCTAGCTGATGTTAACATTTGCTTCTAGATATTTTATGGAACTCGCTTCGTTCTATAAATATTGCAACGGGCGTAGTAGGTGGCGCTTTGTTTTATATATTTCAACTTTTCGTACTATATCAATTCTCGCTATATACTGTGCACTCGATGAGTTCTGTGTATGTGTTTCATTCTTTATAATTGTTTCTTTATGTTTGTTTCGTTCTATTTATACTTATTTCGTTCTATGTTAATTATATAGGAGTTTAGTTCAATAGACCTATAGATTTGTTTCGTGCTATACATACGAACTTCGTTCAATATATATTTGTTCCATTCTATTTATATCTTTTTCGTTCTATATTTACGAGTTTTGTTCAATATATTGTTTGGGCTCCGTGCAGAGGAGTTATCGAGGCGCCCGTATCATCGTCATTCATTTTTCTTTTCATTAATTGTCCTTTCTTCATTGGGGGTGACGTCGTCATCGTTTCGATGGACACCCGTAATTAACTAGATTTTTTTCGTTCTTTATATATTTTGTTCTATATATTATACTTTTGCAATGAAGTCATAAACGGCTCCTCGTACAAATCACTGTCGAATTTACTACGTTTAATACACAACTTACTGTCCTTGCAACCATGAACCATGCTTTCCAAAATATTCTAAAATATTGCATGTGCCATGCCGCGCGCAAACCTCATTTCGCCACCAAAATCGATATTACAGTTCCTTTGGTTAAAAAAACCCACTATATCTGTTGTGTCAACACAAAAGCGACTGGTACCGACGGCATCTACGATGTGCCTTTCTAGCTCGACGTATATATTGTTGGGAGCCATCAATGTCAAAAAAGCATATTATCACAAAAACATGACTCTGGCAAGCCAGACATGCGCAGTTCACGGTGTTGTGTTTTTTTCCTCACTGCAAAGAGAAAATCAGGCTTTTTTGAAAGCAGGGCTTCGTCTCCGATTCGGCTTCGTCCCCGGCCCCAGACCTTAAAGGCTTTCTTTGTTCGTGACAAATAGAATTTCATCATAAAGAGCAACCCTTTTTATTTGTTTGATTCTCATGTCCAACACACCCCATTTTGGGCTCCGGACCAATCGAAAAAAAAAACCTTTTTATTACCTCCAACCCAGTCCGGAACGCCATTCAAACAAAAAAATAACAAATGAAAACAAAATATGAATATAAAATTTACGCGAAGTACGGGTAAAACAGCCAGTGGAATCCCAGAGAGTGAGAGAGTGTTGTCTCTCATCATAATAGGTGTCTATATAGTACATTGTACATGTATACACCTTTACTGGGGTGTCATGGCTGCCACTACAGCAAAACCATTAGTGAGCGGCAAGGTGCAGATTATATTGTAAGTCAACTACATCTTCCAAATATGGATTTATTATTTCATTCAGTGATATCAACACAGTCATGATGAACTCATTGCAATAAACAAAATTAGAGGCAATACGTACTTGGCATCATTTAATGTAGCTATCTGGGTGCAACTGCACTTTTTTTCAGATTCTTGTTTTCTTTTTCGACCGACCGACCCTACTTCAGAGGCAAAACAAAAATGAAAACCATAGAAGTAACAAGTGCGAATGTACAATAAGCTATGGCCGTCTTGCATGAAAGTCTTGCATGAAATCGATCAAAATTATCCCTGCCAGAGCTTAAAAATGCGACGCCCACAAAAGCGACGCCGATGGCACATATGCAACACTTCAGATGTATACCTAGATTTATAGCGATTCGTGATGAATACCACGTGACTGTAATATTACTGCACATATTTTGCCTCCATTTACAAACTTTTGTAAACATCTTTACGAATTGTTACAAACAATTTTTGTTAAGTATTTAACTGATTTTGTTTGCTTTTTTTTTAAATTAACATTTTGTATATTTTGTGGTGAACCTATGGGACTTATATTGGTCAATTTTCGGGGACATGCATATTATGCAAAACAAACGCGCATGCGCATCGATTGAAACAAAACCGCTGTTCTGAAAACCGTTAGCAAGAGTGCATTTTATGACCACGGCGGGGCATTTGGTCAATATTTTTGGTCTTATTTTTGGGTCAATCTTCGGGGCAGACATACAGCCCGACCCACCAACCACCAAGTGACATGTAGAAGCTCTAAGACAATTTAACATTCCTCTATAGAAACACATCGACTCTGCAAAGTAAAGGAACATAAAAATCGGGCAAATCTGAAAAGGAGACAATCGAGGTTTGAGAAGTGGCCTTGATTGTATTCAACTGCATTGCATTTATGCGCGGATACGATCGCGTGAATATAGACTTTCAAGCTAATAATACCTGATAAGCCAGCAATATATGGTTTAATATAATTCTCCTTGGACGTACCGATAATCCACCTCGGAATATTGATCCTCACATCCAGTTGGTGGAGTTGATTGTTTTAAAGCAATAAACACCGTTTACCGCAGGCACATTGTTAATCGCAACGGGGCCAAGTGCTGTATTTTTACACTTAAACACTTTGGTCAAATTCCCTTTAAATGTGTGAAAATGATGGGACACCATTTCCTTTAAATATTGACAAGTTCATTTCTTCAGCTTTAATAAGCCATTCTATTTACAAATAACTGGTGGCGCTTTTATGGCAAACTGTATGGCAAACACTCTACAGTTTGAATGGTGCCTCGACAAATATGAATAAAGCTCATTGAAAATGTTAGTGCATAATATACTTTAAGCAAGCCCCCCAAAACGGAGAAATGACAACCGGAAAAAATATGCCAAGATTTAATGCTGGATAAGGTAACTGTATATATGAATTATTAGAAATGTTTCTATCGCATCATTGGTGCCCTTTAAAACCTAGTTCGACATTGTGATGCGACAAATGGGACTCTTGTGGAACGAAGTCTCATTAGACATTTTACTTGTGACACAATGCACTGTTTTGCTTGTACATAGCTGCGGGAAATGTGCCAATCTTTCGCATAAAATAAAGAGATAAATACACACAGTTCAGAAATTGAGGATTGTATACGTCTGCAGTTCCAAAGTTCCCAAACAATAACATTTATGGGAATTAGTCAATTAAATATGCAAGCAAAGTAATCAGTGACTTAAGCTAAAGTTGAGTATTCCTGAAAACGTCACTAAAATCTATAAAGGCTCTAACACATGCGCAAGATTT